CGTAGCTTGAACGCGCCTTCAAGCGAGCAACATCCTTTATGTGCCGAATGATGGTAGTCTTCGGAACATCGCTCTTGTTGGCCAAGGCTCGAAGGGTCTGGCGCGACTCCTCCGGGACTTGCCGTATCGCGTATCGCAGCTTCGATTTCTTCATGCGTGCGCATTTTTTTACGTCCAGAATTCTCTAAAATAGTCAAACTTTAGAATTCCATATGTATCACAACTAATAAGAATATAGAAAGAGAGAGGATTACCGCGAATTTTCGACGACACGTCAGAACATGCGCGCCCGGACTTGACGGACTTCTGTCCGCGGGTCCAAAGGCGTGACACAGTCAACGGATGACATCCGAACTGGGCAGCCACACGGGACAACGTTCCATGGGACAGTGAGCCACCGGACGAGAAAGCCAGCAAGGTCTCATACATGGCGCGACGCTCGTCGTCACGCAGGTGCTTTTTGCCACCGTTTGGGCTCCACCGACCAGTTGAGAAACTAGTAGTTTTTGAGGGGCAAGGACGACTCCGACGGACTAGAACGGCACGGGGGCGATTTGAATTCCTTCCTTGGATTATCTGGATAAAGCAGTCATTTTATCTTTGACGAACTGGCAAGTCAATTTAATGTCCAATCTAACAAGCAGCAAGCTATGTGTGAACTTTGACCTGATAACGTGACGGTGATGACAAACGTGTGTTTGAGATCTAAATCTTGAGCGGTACAGATAATTTCGCCATTATTGCTTTGACGACGTCGACATCTCATGGATCCCGTTCATGCAAGCCTGAGTGAATCCCTTGTTGCTCAGCTGTCTCGTATTCGCGACCTCCGCGACGGAATAGGCGAATTTTGGCGCCTTTGGCACGGCTGGCGGCGAATTCTAAGAGTACACCCTGGCGACTACTCTGTAAAGTTTGAGTCGCTTCAAGGGTAAAAAAAGTACAAGGTTTGCTACTTGCCGATGCAATATACCAACAATCATCTGAGTATTCAGATATACGTTGTGAACTTGGTGAATTGGATTAAGCACTCCACCCCCGCATCGACGTTTATTCAAATGCGTCAAAAGTGGCTGCAATTTGCGAAAAACACGTCCCAGGGACTCGCAAACGATCGCCAGTACTCCGTGCTGTCCATCGATGCCCCAAGACATGTCTTGGAATATCAGGCTCGCGACCTCCAGCGACACGTAATTAAGTGTGAAAAGCCCTTCGAGGTTCAAGTTTGGAAGCATCGTCGTCTTGCCGTAAAGGTGTACGATGAGCTACCAGCACGTCCACATGGCTAACGGATAGAACATCGAATCCTGTTTCGTTGAATTTGGTTATGCGTAATTTACTTCTCTTCAATAGAAATATTTGCATGACGCAACCAAAGCGAATGACCGACGACTGCCCTGCGACGCCGGAGCCAAAGAGATGCGTCAGTGTCCTTGGTCGCATGGAGGAATCTCCAATTGTGACTGTTGTGGCTTTAATCGACTCGTTGGATGAAGCCGAAGCATTTCTACTGAATGTCCCCCAACCCACGCTTGCAGTGCTAGGTGGGCGTATCGTCTTCACCGAGCGCCGTGTTATTGGTACTAGTGCGCTGACTGTCTATTATGTGGCTGCCGACGACGATGCTCCGATTGACGACCTCCAAATACTAACTTGCAAGGCATCCGGTGACACGAGGCATCACAACGTGCTGTACCTTTATGGTTGAGTAGTGTTGAATGTCCTCAGCGTCAACTATGGGTTTGCAGCTGGGCGGATTGCAACCTCCACCGAACAACCACGCACGAACGCGAAAACGGCACTGGACCGTTTACGTGCAACCCCAACTTCAAGTCAGGATCTTTTGATTCCGAGGACTAACTGTCACGAGGTGGCAACTCACCAGCCCTCTGGGTCCTGTGTCTCCCGTCCTGCGCCCCTCCTGCCTCTGGCACCAGTGGTTATCCACCAATCACAGGCATTCATAAGCCTATTCTCGGTCTAGCTGCTCACTTCTTGTTCCTTCTTTGTGAGCCCACGTCTTCCTCCTTGTGTTTATTATGGCCGGGACGCTTGGCCTACCGTTCCTGGTTTGGCCCCGAGGTTACCTTCCCCGACCCCTTTTCTCTTCCTTTCTCTTTTCTACATTCATCTGGTATCCACCTCGTTTCCCTCCTCTTGACACTAGCAAAGTAGCTGTTACAGTAGCTGACTGGGCAAAGAGTGAATTCTAAGGCACTTTGTCTGTTGTTACTCTTATCCCAACGATTGAGACCTCGGACAATAGCATAGAACACACACTAGGTGCTTGAACTCTGTGCAACTACCGACCAGCCAGTCCACAAGGTTGCGATAGCGCAAGGGACTTCAAACTCTGGTGGTGCTGTGAAGACCTTATGGCCACATGCATCCCAAAGTTTGAGACCCGTAGCAGCAACGTAGCTCCCAAAATCGACGTTTGAACTTTGTGCAATACCCACCAGCCAGTCCACACGGATGCAATAGGGCTAGGGGCTTCAACAAACTCTGGTGGTGCTGTGAAACCATATGGCGGATGCATCCCAAAGTTTGAGACCCGTAGCAGCAGCGTACAGTTTAGGTCTCAACAATGTGGAGCAAATCTGGTCCTCCACAACGTTGTAAACCGACTTCGCAACGGCAAAGACACAGTACCACCGTTTGTTGAAAAACCTCGACCAGTGTTAGCTAGCATAACTCCAATTGCTGCAAGTTCCCTTATGTGGCGCGAAACCATCAAGTCCGAACTACTCGACTACTTAGGTTTGGAAGAATAATATTATCAACACGAATATTGTTCATTGAAAATTCTTCATTCTTGCGCAAACGCAATCGACAATAGTTCGCTAATTTTTCTGCGTCCACTACACCTGACGCTACTATTTTTTCGACGAAGGACGCCTTGGCACGTTGCAAATCCATGACGGCGGCTGCAGCTTAAATCCTCCTGTTGTTTTCTTTCATGTATTCGAACTTCTCACGTTTCAGCTGAGTCGTTTCATTCTGCGCAACCATATATATGGACGAGAAGTCCTTTCGAGGGGACAGGCGCTTCTCCGCCATTGGGAACTTACGTGGGACGACTTTGGATTTTCCCTTGTCCTTGCCTGTGTGACGTGCTGCAACTTTGTTGTCAAGTGGGGCGTCGGCTTGCCGCCCAGGATCGGCAGCATCGTTCTCTGCCCAATACTCGTCGGCGTCGGGGTCGTTGTTGGGATTGCCCGATGTTGTTGAGGCACGTTTGTCCTTGGAGTAGTCGTGGTCATCGAGGTCGTCGTCGCTGCCAATTGCATCAGAAAGAAACGACTCGTCGCATTGTTTGCTCTCATCATTTGCATCTAAATTGCTCCATCGAAATTAGCTATATGTATAGACAAATATATATTTGAGATGTATACATTTACCGCGAAGACTAGTCTCAAAAATGTAAGATGGACGAAAATTTTGTCGCCCCCCAAACAGAGCGTCCATCTCGTTGTAGTACGGGCAAATGCTCTCCAATTTACTTTCAATTGTAAAGATTTCTACCGAAGAGTGAGATATTTGATAATTGATAGTTGATAACATGTACGTTATATACTTTTCTTAGTGTCCAAGTCAGTCAGGCCACGGCCGCTGTTGCTTGGCCCAGACCATTTCAGAGCTTGTCGGTACGATGCAACATATGCGTCATATCTACTTGTCGATTGATAGTTTTAAGAATTATGAATATATACGGATTCTATACCTCGATTTTGCGTGCTGAGCTGACCATGGCCGCGCACTGTCACGAGCAACCTCGTTGACGTACTCGGCTAGTCTTTGAAGGCCGTGTGCTTGTGTTAGTTTTTGCCCTCCTTTCATTGTCTTTCCCTTGTTCGCTTGCCCTGTCAATAGAGCAAAGTTCTCTGGTATACAGAGAAATGCAAGCATTGCCAAACGCTCCGACTTTGTCGTTGCTTCTCGCTTCGCCTTCTCCATGCTCGCTTCTGAAAACTGACTTGCTCCAGTAATTTCCACTGTCCTGATTGGTCGTTTCTATTTATTATTTGATTGGCTTGTTCACAGGTTCAAGTTGCTTTTGCTTTTCGCCACGAAAAGTACCTCGCGAGGTACTTTTGCTTTTCGTGTTGAAAAGCAAAATTTGAAAGGCCTATGTTTTTTTAAGCAAGATGATTTCTATATTGACTCTCCCTAATGCTCTCGCCCAACCCTGCCAAAAGCACCGAGATCGTATTCGTTGCGCCGATAAGCGGTAACTCATTCAAGTGCCCCTTCGAAGGCTGCCCTAAGCATGACATTGTACGAGATATGAAAAGTCTACGCTCGCATGTAGTACATTGCCACCATGGCTTTGACGTGAAAATGTCAAGCGAACCCTCGAAGAGCGCAAGGCGCGTCGTGCTCCTACAGTACATACCGGAAGCAGTAGGAAAAGAAGAAGCGAAAAAGGGCTCTCAGCGACCACGCGAATGCAAGAAACGAGCTGCTCGAGATTCGATAACTGTCGACGACATGAGCGAGGGGTATGGCATCCATGGACACAAGAATTGTATTCTTGTGTACAAAGAATCTACGACTCCAAACGGTGGCTACGGAGTGTTTGTGATGTCAAAAGTTCACGCCGGAGATTTCCTCACTGAGTACAGTGGGCAGTACCCCAAGTCGTGGCCACACCCTCCTGACAAGAGGTACACGATTGGTTTGCCTAATAACGGTGGTTGGATTGTTGGATTTCGATCCCTCAAGAAGAAGCACGGCTACGGATCTTTGGTCAACCGCGTGGACAAGTTCAAAGCCTAGAACTGCGAGTTCGTACACGAAAAAAACCGCATATTTTTGAAGGCCATCAAAAATATCAAACTGTTCACTACGTACGGCAGGCCTCCTTATTGTAGGTATTCTATAAATAGATACCTAATATACCTGAATCACCGCCCGACAATATACCTCAATTAAGGAAATTCTGGAAATTGTGGTATAACGCATGGGAACGGAACCCTGCCTCGCCTGGGCTGCAGAAGATGCAGGCGGAGCGCGACGAGATCAATCACGCTGCCGTGTTGGAGGCGCCAGCGTGCATGCCGGTCGACCTGGCTAAGATGCGTCCCAAACTGTTCCTGGACGACATCATGACGCCCTGCTTGGCACGGGTGCGTCTGTTCTTCAGCGCAGACGGCGTCGCTTCCATCGACCAGGATCATCGCGACCTGGTCAATGCGTACAAGGACGAAGTCGGCATCAAGGCAATCATCGATGCACACAGCAACAAAACGAATTTCAACGACGGCTGGTATTCTTTCGACAGGGCGCGCTTCTCACAGCTGCACCGTTTATGTTCGGGAATGGCGTCCGTGTTCGCGAAGACTACCTCGAAGGTGGAGTCCGACTTCAGCATCCTGAAATGGGAGAAGGACGAGTTCCGCATGAACCTTCTCGACCTGTCGCTCGAGGGTATCTTCCAGGCCAAGCAGTTCAAGCTGCTGGGCCTGCTCGACCCCAACCCAGTGCCCCAAGCAGACGACGACGATGATGACGACACGTAATGGATTGACTTCCCCTGAACTTGCAATAAATAGTTAAATACTCTGGTACAACCACCCATGTAAAGCTCATCCTTCAAAATGACTGATGCATGCTACCGGTATATTCAGTATATGCCTACCGGCAGACCACTGAAATACCTTCATTAAGCCAATACAGGTAATTAAGGTATTTACCTTAAATAATGAGGCCTGCATAATTTATTTCATATATGCTATATCGTATGTTCTCTGAAGGATGGGTGAGATGGGTGAAGGAGGGTGGAATTGACCGAATGTTCACTCCTATTCACTATAGTATACTTACGTGTAGTATATGTACTGTACATGATAGAGTATGTCCTGGTACAGTGTACTTCTTTAGTGTACGAGCGAAGTACAGTACTACAGTACTAATAGTATACGGATGTAATGTATTAGTATCTTGTACTGTACTGTATACAATGTCAAATCTCGTCCTTTACCGTACTGTACTGTAATCATTAGCTTTACTCTATGCGGTATCAAATCTTGTCCTTCTAGTACTCCTTCTAGTAAGAGACAGAGCACTGACATGGTCTCTTATCGGATGTACCAGTCCTTCCTTTGAATGCAAGGTTAACTTAAAGTTACTCCATTCTGTACATCCGCATGGAATACCGGTACGTGATTAGCATATACAATCTACTGTACGTGTACAGTATTATGTCTGTTCTACTGCTGTTGTTCTACTGTAGTACTTACACCTATACTGTGGAGAATGGGAATTGGTGGAGGAACACGTACAGTCGTTCTTGGTCTCTCCACAAATCCAGGTGCAAATTTATCATACATACTACACTATAAGATTATGTATCTAATATTGAATGCTCAGTCGGTGGATTCAAACTGCTCTTTCCGTGACTGTCATGGTATGGATGCTTCAGTCATGAAACATCCATGTCAAGGGCTCAAGTGTTATGGTGTTGTCCATCACGTATGCTGCAACGAGATTAATTGTCCCGTAGGACAGTACTACTGCTCATCCGAATGTTGTGCTACTGTGTAATCAAAAATTCATTTCGCCTTATTTTATTCGTACGAAATATCACCGAACAAATTCCAGCGGTGTTCAACTAAATCGTGGAGGAGCTTCGTATGAGCTACACCGTCCGTAAGCTTGACAAACGCGCGAATGCGACTCTGCAATGTCGCATGTTCGATCTCGCCAGTCGCCACAAAAGGACCGTCGAGTTGGAGGTCGTTTAAAAATTCAAGATCACAACTGTCGTCGTCCATTTCATCATCAATCACCATATTGTGCAAAACACAGCACGTAATCACGACGTGATGCATAGCAGAACGATCCCACAACTCACATGGTGGTGTTAGCACGTGCCAACGAGCCTACAGCATGCCAAACATGCGATTAACGTCCTTGCGGCGTGACCCCTGGGCTTTCTGGAATGCCTTCTCCCGGAGCGACTTCGCATTGGGTATCGTTTTCACAAAGACTGAGTATGGAGGGTAAATTCCATCCAACGAGCCAATATGGTGCGTCGTAGGTGTTTCCATTTACGTTGTATCGCACTTGAGGACGCCATCCTATTATTGCCTATATTAAATATTTTATCATTAATTTAAAAAAATTATTATTGCACCTCCAATCGAACCGTGAAATATGTTTGAATGTTTGAACTGTCCAAGACGTTGATATCGTTGTTTGCTCCAGGCATGCCAAAGTACGCATGCCAAATGCGTCCTCGCATGTCGGACACAGCCTCCATTATTACTGTCGATCGGCCTTTGGCACCTTGAAATGCCCAGCCCACGCCTTCGGACAATTTTTCCACGCGTCCATTCGATCGCCCACAAGCATGGACGACGGAATATCAGAGCCCAGAAAGTGCAGACGGTACCGGGACCCAGCAAGGCCAGGCCAGCATTCCAGGCCAACCAACACGTTGAGCGTCGCGCAATAGCCTTTGGCAGTCTGATTTATTAGGCTCGCGTAGGCTGCTGTCCTTGTAAATCGACTGAATCCCCGAGCAGAATCGGCGCAAGGCTTGACGCTTGGTGCTCTCTCCAATTCTATATCTAACAAACGGTTGACTATGAATTCAAGTTCTTATTACTTTAGAATTTGTGTAATTATATTTGTAGCAAAATAGCTAAAATACCTGTCGTCCAGGTCGTCTATCGAGCAACCTGCCGCTAGGTGTCGGACGCATGCAGCAACCTTTTGCAATGTTGAAAAACCTTGGCGTCCTATGTCACGGATTCTATATGAATATCTGCTTACTATATATGAATATCTGCTGGTTATATATTAAATACACCTGTGACATCGGGTCTCTGTTGAAAGTAAGGGTCCTGGTGTGCCAGATCGTTCGCAATTTGCAGGAAGAGACTCTTCAGCATTCAAAAGCGCCGTCGGAAGTGGCTGTCGTCGTACGTAGGCACGGAATCAAAGTAGTCTGCACGCAGCAGTAGGTTGTACTGAGCATGCTTGCGGTCAATCTTTGGCCGTTTGCCCTTGTTGGAGCCTCTGTTACATACTTCCTCTATTCCATAAAAGTGGAGACAATTTTTCTCAGTACCGTTTCTCGGGAAGCAAACGCCAGAATTGTGTGAAATTATAGCCAAATGTAGCCAATAGAAAACAACTCGACAGGTGTTTTTAGTTTTTTTATTCCTTCTTGTCGCTTCACAACCAAGCATTGAGTGCCCAAAAGGAAACGAACCAATCTAATTTTACCCGTAACTCAGTTTTGATCCAATCAAGCGCATTCGCCTCGTCTTGATGCGTAGATACGGCTAACACCCTTTAGAACCCCGAAACAATTTCTGGAAGGGGAGATACAGACAATTCATTCAAGATGCCGCGTGCCACGACCATCTGTGCATTCAACGATCTGGATATTGATGACCTTTGCGCGACGGCTCACGATATGGACTTGGTCGATAACGATGAAGAGTGATGCTCATCATATCATGCAAGCTTTCGTCGTAACATCTTAATCTTGAATAAAAATACGTTTTGGCTCTGATTTGTTTATACAAATTTCCATATTAAATTTCGCCCAAAAAATTGTCTCCACTTTTATGGAATAGAGGAAGCACCTCCTTCTTCTGCGCTGCGACGACTAACCCACGCAGCACTATGGCGATGACAACGTCATCATCGCCACTACTTTCGCTCTCGGAGTCCCATGCAGCCGAATCCATCACGAAGCAAGTACAATCAATCTGCATTACTGACTGCGGTGCGAAACCAAAACGAGGCGAGTAAAATTTGCCCTTAATGGCGCCAGTAACTCGCGTATCGGAACAAGTTATCCGGATAATGTGCTCCAACGCAAAATACAACATTACAGCATCGAAACTGCGGAGCTCAGTCCCCAACGACTGGTTGGCTGACTCACTCATATTGGATGTGATATGCCAAATGTGGACCGCAGAAACGCACCCAATGTTCGACACGGATTGTCAACAAATAGTTGGCAGCATCTATTGGACAATATAGTGACTTAATTAAATCGATTGTCAAGTATTTACCTGGGTTATGCGCTCGCAGTTTTTCCATGTGCAGTGAAAACGGATCGAGCTAGCTTGTACGCCAAGCCTTCTTCAGTACTGAATAGGTGCCGTGCTTGTGCCGTGTTGATGTTGGTAACAACATGGCGCAAGCAGTATCTGTATGGTACGCCGGAACATTGCGCTTTGCAGGCGTTGGTGAGACCTACAAAACCAATGTAGTACGAATTCGGAAAGATATAAAATTAAAACAAATTACGCCAGTTATGAATAACGTAAAATGTATGAAACTTCAATTCTCAAATACCTTATAAGCGATCAGACACAAGGATAGTGCTTGACAGCGATCGAAAACTAAGCCCAATACTCGCCGTTCTCGACTGGCATGAAACGATCCCTAATTGATAATATCTGTATATGCTGTAATTTAATGCAACTTACCCAATACGATGAGATGATGTTGGGATCTTTGGTTGTTGCAAATAACATAACACTATTTGAGTTCATAAGATCCTTTAAATGGGCTCCTACATGAAACGTCGATACATGAATGTTTGTAAATACTACCATCAAAGACGATAACATTCTGACAGTACTCAACGCCTTAATACAGAACTTCGGGACGACTGTGCTTCGGTAGAATGACCCCAATCTTGCTTCAACAAGCCCATACATCCCTGGATTGCGCGCCTTGAGGAGCTCGAAGTAGCTCCCGGCTTTCTCAAACGCTAGGTCCACCTAAGCCGCACAGATGTTTCACAAGTTCTCGCTTGGTACGACTCGCTGATGTAGTCGATATCGTTTCACCACATGCTCGCTGAAAGTGGCCAATGATCTCAGGGGGCCTTGTGCAATTCATATATATACGCCTAGAAGCAAGTACTCGTCAGAAACGAAGCCACTCACCGTGGTTCATTCGCAAATGTCGACAATCGTCACGATAACGGTTAAAATTATGAGCATGCGGATAGATTTAATGGTTGTAACCATGCGTACCACTATTCTTATCTGTGCAAGAACTTAGATTGTCCAGTCGAATATCCGTTATTCCAAAATTCCCCCAAAGAAGGTAGGTCTGGGGAGTTTTGAAGGTAGGCACCCCCTACTGTCGGGGAATTAGTCATTCCCCGAGTGAGTAGCCTAAGTCGCCTCTGATCAATAGTCCCACTGTACTGATTGATATAAATGAAATATTCGGATAATTATCGGGGAACAAGCCCCCATTTGTCCCAAAGTATACACACACTGCTTCCATAATTAAGCAATAATTAGAGTAGGAACTCGATCACGTGCTTGTGGTGCAAGCATTTTCTGCGATGAACCTCCTACGTTGATGCCGCATGAAACTCACCATACGCCATGTGTGACACCTGCCCGTCCGACACGTACAAAGGACTTGGCAAAAAACGCATGGAAGATGTTCTGACGTTCGACGTGGAGTCACCCGAGGAGCTTGACATGGTGCAGTCGATTCCCATGAACCCTGGCGCCATGATGATTCGAATTGACTTCAACAACATGAGTGGTGCGTTTGCCTTAGCCGCTGAGTTAATTATGCAATGCATGCAGAATGCTCTCGGTTTTCGATTCAGATATGTTGCTAAACTAACATTTATACTGTTCATAGTTAAGCTAGTGAATCTACTTTGTCTATGTGTAGAGTCAAAATGAGTATATCGACGGCGGCGTAACGACAAATTGCTACGAACAAGTCCAACCGCAATGGCGTTCAGTACGCATGCGTGTATACTAGCGTGTATACTAGCTCGCAGACAGCGTACATTCAAGGACCTTCAAAGGGACACCAGCGTTCCTTATCATGATACCTGAGATAAAGCAGCTCAATCATGATCGTGTTGGTTTCTATTCAAATCCTTGGAAATCTATATGACATTGTGTTAATTGTCTTGACTTCAATGAGTGATATAACATCAATGTCCTCTAAAAGTCAGTGAACCAGTGTAATTACTATTACTCCGCTACCCCTTCTATAAGGAATAGCTCTCATACCCGCAATACAGTAGGTGTGCTAGCAATGTCAAATATTGGATACCAAATGTTTGTGCGTTTTTATCACGTGGAGTACCACATTGGGCTTGAATATGCTTCCCCGCCAACGGATCCGTTCTTTCTGAGCTAGATAGGAAACGGTGTCATGTAACTGTCGCCAATGAAGATATGTGACTGCTTACTTCAAGAGCGATGTGATGATGACTCCAAGTGGTCAACATACCTTCGAAGCATCAAATACTAGTACTGTAGATAATAGAAAGCATACTTTAGCAGTTCACAAAATTCATACTTTAAATAGGCTATGCAAACATACATGTCGACGCTTTTCAGTCCACTGTCATATACCCTCAGGAAATAGATGATGTCGACAGAACAGATTGGAACGGGTTGCATTCTTACGAGCCAATGATATTTGTTTGTCCAGAACATTGTGGAAATACCAGGAATTCCATTTGGCACTAATAATTTGGAACAGAGGTAGTATATCATATATTTGTACTATTACAGCAGTACATCGCCTATTACGTACGCCTAGATAGATATATAATGCCTACACAATTGCGATTGTGTACAGTTAATGTAAATATATCAAATTTGACAAAAGCGAACTCCCATGAAATCACTATAATAATACTTTTTAGGACGCTTTGTCTCTTGCGGGAGCATATCACGCACGATTGGAGCATCTTCTACCACAGGAGCCGGTTGGGCGATTCGTTTCCCCGACTGCTGCTCTGGTTCCTTGGGCGTTGGCAAGCCCTTTGCCAGGGTATATTCACGCACCATGGCTCTGGGGTGGCCACCAAGCTTGTGGCACACAAACATAAAAATAGCATCGTTGGCATTAACACTGGTTTCTTCGATTGCCGCTACGACAGAGTCGTAACCTGCAGTCATTGGTGACCCGACGTAGTTGGGCGAGTCGTAAAGATGGTCTTGCGAGTGGTCGAAGAACGCTTCGTCGTCGACGGCAGCCATTTACCTGTACAAACGGTCACTGTAGGAAAGTAGGCTACCGTCATGGTTCTTGTGGATGCCGTAGTGCCTTGACGTGATCCACTTGGCCTTGCACAACGGCACCAAAAATACTACGCGGGTCTTTTGGGATCGATTCTGTGCGTCATTGATGATTTCCAAATGCAACGTGTTCACTTCGATACTTTGCATTGTATTTAAATACTTGACATTTCCATGAACTATTCGTACTATGTATTCTATGATATCAACTTGCATTCTTGCCATGAGATAGCTTGCTCCCTCGTCCAACCAGTCGTAGTTCACCTCAACAGTGATGATACGTCCCACCAACATTTCCTCCTGAGTTTGCAAATACCATAGTTAAGTACACCTGATCTGTGAATTAGGTGCGAGTTAGGACCGCTTGGTATTCGTAGTGGGCATTTGACCAATTGACTGTATGTTCCACAAGCGGTACCAAAAACACCTCAGATATCGAATCTGAGATTTCCTTAGATCAGTGAACTCACAATTTTCATATCCGAATGTTTGTGCGATCTGAGGCACCCTCAGATGTGCGAAGAGGAAAAAGTCGTCTTCGCAGAGTACCCGAACGTTAGAATTGCAGAAATTTACATTTTCAGATCCTTCCCCCATAATATATTGAATTCTAGATTGTAGTTTGAGGGGGTGCAAATATGTATTCATAGCGCAATTACACGGCAAATCAACATGCAAATCTCAGAGCATTGTATCCTACTATGATTAAACCTGGCGGTTTTAAAGTCAATATATTGTTGAAATCACCCCACAAAGTTACCAGATTTCGAGGTTTCGAGGTTTCGATCTCTCGGAGAATTGACATCGTGACTACTACTCTGGTCTGATATCTTGGTCATATTGTTTTGCTATTGGCGGCATTTTTCTAACAAATACTTTTGGAAGTAGCTGATTGGTGCGTCAAAAGGCGCAAGATCTCAGCTTTGATTGGGTAGCTTTCGCGCATTGTAGTTCGTTTTGCTTTATAACTTACATCATCTCAAAGTTGTCCAGTCAATTTTTGATAGACAAAACTCTCCGGAGAGAGCTCATTATACAATTAACTGCGTTCAAGTCACTACCCAACCATTCTTACACCTTTGACGATGCGTGTGACTCAAGCGGGGCTCTGCGCGACTCGAAATGGAGACGGGAGGCCTGAACGAACCTCAAACTCGTCGAGCGCCGGGCCTTCTTTGAGCAGCTCTTAGAGCGATCCCAGGGAGGAAAGATTCCTTATGGTGCATATAAGGAGGTTGCATGTCCCTTTCGTTGCCACCCGAGGACGATAACTCGCATCTGGAATCGTGGACGGCACTCACAAAGCAAGAACCATGGCGTCGTGGACGTCGCGGCAAAAATGAGGGGTAAAACTTGTATAATTTTTTATTTGATCCAAAAATATTCGTTGATAGAAGTATTATTTTCTAAAGGTGTACTATATTAGGAAATTCTGGTCGCAAAAAAACGCGCACTGCAGAAGAAATCAAAGCAGCCGTGCAGGCGGTGCCCCATCATACACGCCAAACAACACGAACTTTGGCAGCCAACTCCGGAATCCCCAAGACGACGCTACTCACCCACATGATGCAACACGGTACACTTAAGGCTCGGTACAGCTACGTGAAGCCGATGCTCACAGACGAGAACACGAAGACACGGATGGCTTTCGCACAAAGCTTTCTCCGACCGTTGTCAAATGGAACCATTTTCTCCAACGTGCACGATGTTGTACAATTTGATGAAAAATGGTTCTATTCGCAGCCCGATCGGTCAAGTCCAAGAACTTCATCACCAAGGTGATGTTTCTTGCTGCAGTGGCACGACCGCGGTACAACCCCTCCACCAAGGTGAGCTTCGATGGTAAGATCGGGGTCTGGCCATTCGTTGAAGTGGCCCCAGCCATTCGAGGCAGCAAGAATCGGCCCAAGGGAGCCCCTGTTACGGTTCCAAAAAATGTCAACGGTACGGTGTACAAGGCGTTTATTTTGGGGAGAGTTGTGCCTGCCATCATCAAGAAATTTCCCCCTGGTGACCTGTCGCGTGGTATCCGAATCCAACAGGACAATGCAAGTTCTCATCGACAAGTCACGATGTCTCTGCTGCGTGCCGCTGGAGTCGAAAACATTGGTGTTATTAACCAGCCACCAAACAGTCCAGACTTTAATGTCTTAGATTTAGGTTTTTTTAATTCTATTCAAAGCCTGCAGCATCAAAAATGTACTCGAAGTATCGAGGAACTAATTGATGCTGTAAAAGTCGCGTGTTAATTATTCTATTTCCTAGTTCAATACAAAAAACAAGACGTTTTGAGGTTGCAATGCATACTTAAATCAAGTCAAAACAATGTGACCAAGATATCAGAGCAGAGTAGTATAAAGACACAAATAAAAATTTTTAAAATATACTTACACTAGTGTCACGCGCAAAATGCTATGGAGATCGTATGTATTTACTTCCTGATCTACAATCACTTAACAAAAAGCACATCTTCCTACGCCCGGTCTATATTGCACCAGTAAATTTCGACAAGTTCAAATGTTCCTTATACTCCGATGTACATATTTCGGAGCAATAATTTAAAAAAGCAACTATTTGCCCCCTCCACTTTCGTATGCAAGTTTTAGTGAGCTGCGTGTAGGCTTCCGTTGGTTGTCGGGGTACCGGTAATATCATCCACGTAGAAAATAAATATTTTTGATTGGCCCAATCAAATTCGACATCGCTTACACTATGCATGGGAGCAATGGGGTTACATTCATATCAATATGGAAGTGATTGCGAAACGCAATGAGTTTGGGTTCTTTGAGTTCGGTGTAGATTGAATTAGCGTGATTCTGAATCCAGTGTTGGATTTCATATAGTGTCGAGGAAGGGCTTAGTGCTAGTATCATGTTGGGGCTCCGCAACTACTAATTGCACAAACTCAAATATTCTGTTAATTTATTTCAAAGCACCAATTTAATACGTCACACTAAAGCCCCCGCCCACCCCCCAAATGAAGTACATCGCTATTATGTACGAACAAATATGTAGTTGGGATTGGGGCTGTACTCAGCAACTAATGTTACACCTCAAATCAGCAGTTTCAATCTTAAATGCTGAATATTACCACCGTCACTTATATCTATTGCAGTTGTGTCACGTATTGAACGATAATTTTCGTTTAGAATCTCGTAAAGTCCTCAATAATGACTATCGCATATCGCTAGTAAATACTTTGCATCTACTGTTCTGTCATCGGAACGGGAGGTCATTAAGGCTTCAAACTACTAGTAGTAGCGTTATAAACTATTCTATGTAAGATGCACCATTGCTGGTAGTGTTCGAGGTAAGTATGCCGAGTAGTAAATTAGATTTTGAATGCCTCACCACTAAAAAAATTGCTTACACCACACAAGGCTACAACAGCCATGCGTAACGTAATCCTATCGGGGAAGTGCTTTTAAAGTCGCTAGGCTTAGTGGTACAATGTAGTGAATGGCATACTAGTACACGAGCAACGATACGATAAGTACAATCCTAACGTTAACGTTAAACACCGTTACGAAGGCATATGCACAACGTGTCGTATCCCTGGCACAATTAAGCAGGTAAATACTACTACAGTGAGTATTGTGGCTACGTACTACAGTAGTGAGAGTCTGGATCCAAGCCGACAGGATTGCAGCTGCACGCACTCATGTACTGTAACTAGTTGCAACAATTGCGAAGCTAAGATTTTTAGCTACTGTAGACACATCTCATTAGCTAAATCCTACATAAGGGCACAGCGTAGCCCTCATAGGCATGTAGCCATTCCCCTGCGTACTTGTTGCATTCATCTCATCGACATAAGTAATTAGCTATATTTCGCGACCAGCCCCCTTACATCCTTACATGGACAGTAATATTCCGCGACCATTCCGTGGCCAGCCCCTTAAGCAGTGACAGTTTCACAGCCATGTAAATGTGCATTACATAAATCTAGACAAATGGGGGTCATTACCCATATATTGACTTGAATATAAAATAACTAAAGTAGAAACACCTGTTACTACATTTAACATAACAAAAGTTAAAGTATCAAAATATAAAGCCCACTACAACACGTCGATGGATCCCATTTATTAACGCGCAACGTTACCAAACTAAAGTTTGGCACAATGTATTGTCCTTGTAATGTTACCTTATTAATTAGTCATTTTGACGGGTTGGATCAACGGCGTCATTTTTCATAGATGAGCATTATTGCACGTTGCGAATGATCAAGTATCGACCCGCAGAGTCATTGTTTGCAATTTGATTGTGCATGTCGATATGACAAATTACATTGCTGAGCCTGCAGTTCTACGGCGATACTGTAGTTCATTGAACGAGTTGCTCCAATGAAAGTATGGCTTGCATTATTCGAGGGTTAGATTGTTGCAGCATTTGTAGTATTGATCATGGCCACTCGATTTAGCCGACGGGTGGTTTCCTCTGTTCTTTACCACACTAATATAAAGTAATTTACGGTAATATACTGAGTCTAAGATTGTACAGTACATTCCTTGACGTATATTCTAAAAACTATGCTTCACTTGATTTTCAAAGGTCTGATAGTTGTAATAAATTGTACTACGAATATTAATATGAGTATTCACCGTTGGTACGATTAACGTTGTACAGTACAATGTTGTATGCCTTTGTAACGGTGTTTACTTGGAAGAGCCCCTAAGGTTAGAATTGTGCTTATCGTAGGAACCAATTAGTCCCACCCACTTAGTCAGGGGTGTTTTAGGTCAATAGTACCACATTCCCCCAGTGAGTGGGCATTTCACCAATTGAGTGGGTGTACCACCCTCTCACTCGGGGAATTGGTTTTTTACCAACCAACATGGATACTGCAGTCACGAGACTGCGTCGAGCGAAATTTCAGCTCGTCCAACTTAAAACCATGTTATTCCGGAACACTACAGGGAACTACGGAATACACGGACAACCGAAGTTTACAACTTCAACATTTGATTTGTTGAATAGAAAGATTTCTCATGAATCTAAACACATGATAGAATAATTTTTTAATCTCCCGGCAACTTGTGTTTTTTTTAATTGGCGGGCAATGTTGGTCAGCTTGCAATAAATGACACGCATGATGAATTTGATCGCGTTCAAGCTCGAAGCTTTGGGTATGCTGGAGACCATGAACGACACCGAAGTTGCACTGCTCTTGGAATCCCTTCCGGTATTCTGCGTAAGTGGAAAGCCCAGCGGTTGGTGTTGCTAGGCTTACAAAGGCAACCAGAAGCGGATGCAAGTGTCACCAAGAGGCCGCCATGAGGAGTTTCCAGACTCACCCGGACTCATCCAATTCATCAAGGACCTGCGTGACGCCGAGCGTGCCCTAATGACCATGCACACGATCACTTGGATCAAACGAAACCAACGACGGTGGCTCCTCAACTGCTTGGAATCGAAGGTGCCAGGCACGCGAAGTTCTAGTAAATGAACACTAACGTTATTCTTGGTTTGAGTTATGGGCTGGCTTATACATTCAATTTTCTTGAATCATGCACTCGAACACGAACCGAGGTACTAGAGTACTGTAGAGGTAGTTCTGCAGACAAGAGTGTCTTAACGAAGGGCCAATTAATGGCGTATGTGCCAATTAATGACATATAAAACTAAGCCAATCAGTTCCTCCGTTCAGTGCTCCACGATGGCATCGAGGAGTGATCTGTGGCCCTAGTCGACAACTTCGAGTCGCATTAGTCAGTCAAGATCGTGAACGAAGTGCGGGGAAGTCCGTTGCCGCCGAACTCGACCTCTGTTTACCAGCCACTGGACGTCGGCGTCATGACTCCCTTCAAGCGTTACCTATGGGAGTTGTGGCTGTTTGAGGAAATGATTGAAGGGGACGACGAAGGCCCATACTCACTGACCGCCCAACACAAGAGGATGGCAATGATCAAGCGCGCCATTGCCGCGTGGGATTTGGTTCCAGCAGAGGTCGTCCAAGCCATTTTTGCGAAGGCTCTCGCTCGTGCGCCAATGAATGAAGAATGATGAGAGTTATTATAATTCTGAATCAAGATACATTTTATATCTAGGATTTTGTATACTTGTTGGTGTAGAATATTATTATTGTGAAAATTTAGCAAAAGTTTGACACTGCCCGGGAATTGAACCCGGGCCCCTTCCTTGATAATTTGATGCCCATGCCGTCACGATTAACCACTGCGCTATCGCATCAAACGCTTACGTTGTTACTGGATTCTTTGTACCAGTGCCTTCGTTGTAACATTATTTCTACTTCAAAACGCATAATCTGATGACCTGCAGAAAAGTTGATATTCCAAATTCCACTTCAGCTTGATGGACCAGTTTACGGTTGTATAATTTAATTGACTCCATAATTTACGTCACGACGCTGTCCCATTATATTTTCTTTGCACTGCAGTCATTGCCAGAAAGGATAAACGTACTTCGAAGTAAGGAAGCCAATCACAAGACGATACACATGTTATTCTCGAAGTCAAATGTGTCCTTGGATTCCGTAGTTCCCTGTAGCCACATGAGATTCAAAGTGTGCAAAATGTGTCTTACAAGACAAGCATGATGCCTCTAATAATAGTACTAACGTGGGGCACCAGTCATCGGCATCGCACTTTGCTTACTTTGTTCGTCGATTTCTCGTTGACTACAAGACATATTGAAGTGATACAAATATCAAAATAACCGCAAGATTCAGCTCATGTATTGAGGTTCAAAGGATATCAATTTAAATAGTAAACACGTGCAGTAAGGATTTTCGTTTTTCGTAGGGCACCAGTCATCGGCACACGTTTTAGACTTGTGTAATGTATTGAATCCTCCATACTCTAGTTCGAGGGATGCTGTCATCATATTAGCTATCAAAGGAATATGTGTTTAGAATGGGTATTTATTGCTACAGTAACGATTTCTGTATGATCAACACAATATTGCCTGGTCCAACCTCTAATTTATAAGGGGCACTAATTCTTGAAGAACTACATTTTGACCAATAAGAGGTACTCGGGCATTTCTATTGGCTTACAACAGTGCCGATGACTGGTGTCACAAAAATTGGCGATTTTACGGACAAAAAACGTAAATGATTATCACTTTTGACTGGTTTACTCAAAGTATGAATCGTTAAAAGCACCCACGTCGCTGTCGTCACCCAAGCTTGACCCATCAACGCTTCCACGGTCGTCATCGGAGGCACACGACATGGTAATCATCTTCATCGATCGTACTAATGTGACGATGTAGCTCCAAGAGGCCCTGCTCCGACTTCTTGATGCAGCCGTGGACCATTGCTGAAGTGACGGCATCGAACGCCAAGTCCAAGCGCATCTCGACATCGTGCAACGTCGTACTGGTACAGTATCGTATCGTATTGTCTCCCGACGTCTTCTTTGACAATTGCCCACAATAACTCTATCGGTTGGAGATTAGAGTGGTGCGGTGCGCTGTACACAACTTCGTGGCCAGCGGCGGACGCCATCTCGACAACGACGGGTACGACGGATGCGGTGTATGGTTGGAGTTTTGACCAAATGGATGCTTTTAGTTCTCCAGGGGTGTGCTCAATCCCCAAGGCGTCGCAAGCCACCATCAAATCAGCTTTCCGCCATGAAAAGCGCGGTGTTGCATCCGGTATGCACTTATGATACTTTGCATTGTCCATGACGATGATAGTGTTGGATATCCCGCGATCCGCCAAATCAACGAGCAAGCGGCCAAACCTGGCAACAAAGTACTTGTGGTCGACCATGCCGTGATAGTCCTTTGTTTGCTTTCCGCCAAAAAACTTCTCGTAGCACACCACGAAAGACTCGAAAGGGCCACCGTCGACAATGGCGGCAATGAAACGAAACCGACGGCCTTTGTGTATGGCCTTGACCTGCACGTCCAGGTCGTCGTAGAGCGATATGTCGTTTATGTTGTAGTGCTGATTGATGAAGCCCTCGTCAAGGTAGACGACAGTTCGACGGTCTGTTGTGTGTACTTGTTGCGTAGCCTGACACATGAACCGTACATAGTTGTCGCGGAGGATTGTGTTGGCCTCTGTGAGGGCCAGTGATTTCTTTCCTCGCTTGGAGCCACGCAGGTAGCCACAATATTTGACGTACTTCTGTACCGACCGCAGTGCCGTTTCACGCTCCGTTTTGATGTAGGGGTCGTACGAGAGGTGCCCAGTTTCGAGTAGGAAGGCCGCTACGTCTTTGGCAACCACACGGGCTCGGATTTGCCGCTTCTCACGCACAAATCGTTGGACCGAAGATATGACGTCAATTCTTCTGGGAATCCGAGTTAGTCTCTTGGTGAGGTGTTGGATGGTAGCTTAGCGGACACTACCGCCTTACTGGTAATGTAGTCGCGCCACACAGCCTGAACTGTTTTTCTTGAGCGGGCAAGGATTTGAGCAATCTCGCTTGGAACGTCACTGGATTTACCATTTATGGAATTAACGTGTCTGACATACACGTTGGCTCGTAGAATCTCCAGTCTCTCTTCTTCAGTTAAGGCCCTTGGTCGATTTGATTTCACAAATAGACAAACTTCATGGAGCATTGCGGCATCCACATCAAGGCGCCCATTTGCAGTCATGGTGAGTGCAAGAACGCGCAGTCAGTGTCCTCAAATAGCATATTATGTTTCATAGTTTTTTAGCAAATAAACCTGTGTAACTAAAATAAATTCGTATTATATTATATTACAAAGGGGATGAGTTCTCAAAGAACATTTGTTTCAGTTTTGTACAGTTATTCTTAGATTGCTCGAAGACAATCATTAAATTAAGGTTGATCCTTTGGCGGTTTATGTATTTACAGTGGTCGACAGCTGTGAGGGGGCCTTTGGGAATAGTTATTGCTGCATAAATGCTAGCGATAAACAGTTAATATGAACATTGTAGCTCACAGGCCAAGCTACAAAGTGAGCATTTAAACACATCTTCAATGTTGATATTCTCGCTATAACGATGTTGCAAAGTTTCAACATGAGTCATTTTTCACCGTAATACATAATAAAGTTCTATATCTAATAAACGCGTTTTTCATTCTATGCATAAAAATAGGTGAAAATCTGAGAATAATCCTTTCATAATCGATACATATTATCAGAAGCCCCCTCACAGCTGTCGACTACTGTTAAAAAGTACATGTCCATTGCAAAAAACTGCATTTAAATTGGACAAGTATTTCGACCAGTAGGGTGCCAAGACCCCTCGATGGTTCCGCCCACTGTTAATTCAGGTACTACTGTATTGCATATCGTTCGCATCAAACTACTAATCAAGGTTGAAGTCTACAATACACCAACTCAATTCTCCAAATTTTAACTGAAAACATAAATTGATGTATTACTTAGAATCTACTCTGGAGGAACTGGAGCAACTAGTCGTTGACTTCATTGGTTTTGTCAATACTAGCTTTAGTTTCCTGCATAAGATCAAACATCTTAGCCATTTGGTTTGCGATGTCTACCCCAGAGTTATGTGAACACTTCAGCTTGGCAGCCTCAATGAGCCCGCTAGCAAGTGCTTCTCCAAGGTTGCTGAGACCTACCGCAAGATCAGGCTGTTGCTTCTTCCCCCGGACTTGACGTTGGCGTTGAATCTCCATGTCGATCTCATCCTTCCGCTTGGCGTCACGCATGGAGCTCATCGAAACGGACTCACCGATCGCACGAGTATCCAGACCTTGATTATCTTCACTGAGGCTCGCACTTGCAGCACGATCCATGCCAAACTCAATGTCCCCAAGCCCATGTAGATCAGCGAACGCAACCAACATGTCCGCGTAGTAGCCTGGCTTCGCAGGGGTCGTCTGCTCGTCGTTACCGGTTGCTGTCAAGCTGCGCTGGATCGCCACAAACTCGGTCCGTAACTTTCGTAGCTTGTTCTTCAGAGAGTCTGGAGATACCTATGGTGACACTTAAATATTATGATATGTTGTATGGTATTTGTCGTACCCTGCGTGGTTGTTCAGTGACAATGTTGAATCGTAGAGCCAACTTCTCCCAGAGCACATGAAGTTGCTAGCCATCAATTCCCCTTCGCAGGGAATGCCCACGATTGGTTCGTCGATGGCGTCAACAATTACAGACCACCCAAGCGAGTCCCCAGTTACGTACACTCAGGCCATGGTAACGACACTTCTGGAACTGCGATTCACTTCTTTCGAGCGGCATTCAATGCTGATCTGTCCAGCACCATCCACTTGAGATGGGGTACGCAGTAGGTGATGTTGCAGGAGCTGTACTTGCTCGACGAGCTGCGCTTTGGTCATCTTTACCGTTGGCTTCGGAAGCATGGTGGGAATCACGAAGGAGCAGGTTCACGGTTCATTATATGTGGTATGATTGGTTGCAATTTTGACCAATAAGATGGAATATTGTTATTACTGGTGGACGTGAACGATATAGCGAATGATGTGAATTATTTATTTGGTCCATTCGTAGTCATTCTTATCGAGTTGGTTGGAACATGCTCTTAGCATCCACATAAGCGGATTGGAACGGTTTGGAGACGTAGTAGAGAGGTTTTGCAAACTGTCCTGCCAGCCCCCGTGTTACCCACAAGAACCACTGTGACAAAAGCAGAACTTTACCTCCCAAATATTTTACTACCTGGGAACTAACGTGCAGGCATCGATGCAAAGAAGGCGCAGCATCGACTCAACGTGCTTCTCAACAAGCATTTCTCGTTGAACACGGAATCTGCTAAGGCGTTGGGCGTCGACGAGGTGTATAATGAGAGGACCGAACTCTTCGACGAGCTGCTGGCATTGTATGATGATATGAAGGAGGAACAGAAGGAAATAGCCGGAAAGGTCGCCAACGAAGCCCAACGTAACGAAAACAAGGGGAGCAATGTGAGAAGCGAAGCTCTGTCCTCCTTAGGGAAATGCAAAGAAATCGAGGGGTCAACGAGAGCATCAGCGTGGGCAAATTGCTGAAAATGATGAATGCAATGCAAGAAGACAACAAGGCAGAATTGGGCTTTCGCATGTCGCAGCTTGAGTTCCAAATGTACTAAAGTACGAACGTGAACTGGAAGCGCCGCCAGCGCCACCCGCCGATAGAATCGAGCGTTGGCTACAAGCCCTCGGAGTGTCGAGAGCAAGGTTGGAGGCCGCGCGGAAGTCCGCAGATGAGTCGAAAGGACTGCGCTTGGACTTGGCGTAAGCACAAGTCTCACATAAGTGACCACGAAGGTGCTTGGCCTTGAAGAGTATCAGCTCGGGTTTTGTCTTTGTCATTTGTTCGAAAGCATCAATGCCAGGATGGCCGAGACGGCGATGCCATAGTTGCAAAGAGTTCGGAGTCATCCACGAGACTGGCGAGGCAGTCGGTCGGAACAGTAGTGGTGTCATAGACTACTAGTAGTGTGCGAACCAAACATATCCTGGGCGACACTCATGGAGACATAGTCTGGAGTGAAAAGTAGAACGATGATGGCTTGGGGACCCTAGATGATCGATGAATGATTGACGTATAGCGTAACACGGACGAATAAGCAAACTTGTGTAATTGATCGTTAAAAGTGGAACCCACTGTAGTTGGAGAAGAAAGTCCGCAGATCAGCCTCGAAGGTCGCCATATACGCCGGATGGAGATGCTCCCCACGGTGCAAGTCGGTGGAGGGCTCGAGCTTGGGCTTGCAAGGAAAAGAGTAGAGGTACATGGTGTTGTTGGGTACATGCAGCACATCAATAAGAGTGGTGGAGATTTCGCACATGTCTCTAGCCGTAAAACGTACAGAGATGCCTTCGTCAGTCGTCGACGTGGTCACGGGACGACATGTCCACGACCATGGTAATAGGGCCATATCTAAGGACGGAAAGTTCCCAATTGTAAGAGACAGTGCGCAGGGGACGTAGTTGGAATATTAATCTCGGATGGGAGTGGAGGAAGTAGAGGTACTGGAGTCAACAAATCAGTGTTCTCGCAGAGCGTGAAAGTCGTTAGGACGATACGTCACGGACATAGGCTGTGACGGGTCACCGGGGGTCGCTTTCGAAGTAGCGAAGGCCGCATGGAGAGCGAAAATGCCTTGACCTCTACAACTTGGAATGGGGGATGGGGACGGACATCGTACGGCCGAGAAGGCACTGGGTGGGAGCAGTGCAAGAACCACTTTGGTGGGGTTCGCAGTAATATGGAATAATGGTCACGATTGTTGTCACGGTTGTTGTTTCACCCACCATTGCCAAGACCACTAGAGGATCGTTGCTCCATCGATTTTGGCCACTAGGGCCATGGTTGCTACTTGGCCTATCGTAAATCATCGCGGTCGTCACGAGGATGTTGGACTGGACGCGATGAGGTCACATGGGCGCGTTTTCGCTTCCTTTAGGAGACAGCACCATGGTTGTCAAAGACAGTGCGGCCAAAACCCGGACGCATAGCGTTTCGGGCATAGTGCGATTTGAGAGTAGGGGATGCAGGAAGGGGGTGGTTGCCAACGCCACAGTAGAAGCATGACTTGCCGGGGTTGTTGAGGCAATCACGGTGAGTATAGCTCAGAATGATGAAGGCCTTGAGGGCATGGACGGAGCCATCAGCTTGGGTAGTCCCCTGAGGTGGAGGCGCAGGGGCCGCAACGGCTGCGCGGAGGCAATTTGGGTTCATGATTGGATGGTAGGGGCCGTGGTCACCCAGAGCAGATGCTCGTTGGAGTCGGTTGGTAATAATACGCCATAGGCAGTTCCACACGTCGGCAATGACGACAGACTCGTTGGCGGCTCGCACATTGGCGGTGGAGTTCGTCATGATTTCCCAGTTATTTGTGTCACTAATGAAGGTGTCGAACATCGCACACATAGTGTAGTAGTTCCAAATATGGTTGTGGTCGACGGACGTATTCACCGACGGAACCAATCTGTTGAAGGAGGACGGGGTCATTGACACACGGTAGTCTATGACGAGGCCAATGAGTTCCATTTAAGATAGTTGTTGTAGTGCTCAGATAACTGGTAATGATGGTGGGGTTATACCTATGGAGATATCTGGTAATGATGGTGGGGTTATTGTCCATGGGGTTAAACTCGAAACGAGTCATGACGTGATCAAAAAAGCTCTCATAGGGACACGTAGTGGCCTGATACATGCGGTGATGTTTCGTGGAGATGGCGAATAGCAAGAAGGTGTGCTCGGCAGAGCGTTGATTCGCAATTTTTTTGTTTGCATCACGGTCAATAACCTCGCATGGGATGGTGGTCGTGTGCGCATTGATTTCCGCCAGACGCGCGTCAAAAACGGTATCCGACAAAGTAGGATCTTCAACGTAGAGGTCGGAGTATTCGACATGATCGAGCTCGAGGTACATCTTGCTGATGTTGAGAGCATCTATGCGGTTGCCCTGAGGTACATCGATGGTCCGGCGCAGAGTAGAACTCCGCGAGACCTCGGGACGTCGCTTGGGACAAAACGTCGGTTTTCCTTAAGCTTTCGGCCACAGGCCTGAGTTCGTCGTGGGATACACAGAGGAAGGTACTGTAGAAGTCTCATATCTGGGTCAACAGGGGCGAATAAAAGGAAATCACTTAGGAAGGGCTAAGACGAGGTACGCTTGTATGATAGAGAGCAAAACCAAAAGTGATCATTAATGGACTGCTTAGTGACCTATGATTGTGCAGAGACAGACCGGCTTCTACAGAAACAGAACACAGGATATTCCGTATAACCGGATATGATCCGTAAGTGACTGAACCTCGGCGAGAAAGGCCAATAATACAAGAACGGCAAAATTGGTCCTCGCCTTCGTACGCAGCTCTTGTTATCCGGATTCCTCAGGAGGCTGCGGGAAATTGTTAATCAATGATTAACCTAATTTTCTTCAACTACTGAGAACAGCGGATTGGAGGTTTCAATCCCATGCTGGACAACGTTGATCACAGCATAGAAGCATTTAATATGGAGATCAGTTCGATGTCGGAAAATCTGCCGCATCACACCAAACTGCTTCAATCGTGCATTGACAGTCTCATGCCGTGCCATGATTTCCTTTTGACGGTGAGCGCTTTAGGGTTGATATCTTGAGTTTACGAAAAACTCTTGATCCGTGTACCCTCGATCCGCCAATGCCATTTCACCGTCCTCTAGAGCGTGCACGAAGGCATTTCGTGCAAGCGATAAGTCTGACCAACTTCCACAGGGAACACCTCCGTTGGCCCAAACGAGGTGCCCTGTTGTAATACACAATCCAACTTCGTAGCGCAGGCCAGGACTGTGGAACTTGTGGGAATACCATGAGGGGTCGAATGGTGGTGGCTCTTGTATACGGAAGTCAGTACCGACCAACGAGACAAACATTGTAGCATCTGGTTGGGCGATATCAAATCGGTTCTCCCATATGAGCTATTAATGATGTTATTTAATTGCGGTATAACCGATTTACCTTGTCCAACGATGACAGTATCGACACCCAATACCAAGCCCACCTCCTGAAGGTCTTTTCATCGACTCGTGCTATCGTCGCATGGACAGTTTCGCTGGCATAGAGTTTAAGGAACATCAAAGCCCATAGCAAGTGTGCAATGCATGTTCCAGGGTCGACGCTGGATCGATCAACCCAATTTGTAGCTACGACTGCGGGTGTTGTTCCGAAGAGTGACCGGAAGCGTCTTTGGTGGTTTGCGTTCGGAGTGGCGCTTGTGTGCCTTTGCAGCATTTGGGTTGCTTCATACCAAACTTGCTGCTCCACGTTCGTTTGCATTGTCAAAAGTGACGACGGTTACACTACTTCACCGTGAAAAGACACAACATTAAAATTCACACAAAATCTAATTATATTTTTGATATTATAAAAAAGTTTCCTAAAGTGTGACCATGCAAGTTTCCGGAAACTTTGACAAATGTTATATTCTTTTAGCGATTATGAGCTTCGTATTGCATTTGACGCTAAAGCGTTTTATATTCATGATAACACAAATACGTTGCACTTGCTGACAAGATTTGAAGCCGAATGAGGCGTGTTAAGTACGGTTTCGGCAATGGCAAAAAGCTAGGAAACTTCGGAAACTTGATACTTTGACTGCAAATTTCACTATGGCTACAGGTTATTAGATCGTTTTGATGAGATTTTCCTGGAAAACTTGGTGACGACTAATCATACCCAATATATCAAGACCATTGGATGTAATAAAGCATGGTTTCCTGTACTGCAAACTTGAAGGTTTTTAAAGTTTCCTTAACGTCACGTAAAAAATTAGTTTTATAAATATTCCGGTATTTTAATAGAAGTAGGAGCCTTCACATCAAATCGTACTTAACATGAAAAATTCAAATCGACCCAATAAAGTACACATGTAACCGAATTGCGCGCGCAACTCACAATCGCCAAATGGCTCGGAAGTGGACAAGCGACTGCGAAGCTGAGAGAGTACTGCGACAGTTGTTCGAAGACGGCACCGTTTCTTCTGGAAGCTCTCCTGGGTTTGTTCGTGCCCTCGCCCCCGACATCTTCAACCAGTTCAGTGACGCAGTGTTCAACATCCACCTCCGTAAGGCCAAGATGGCTTTCAGTACGTTCGGATATGTCGATTCCATCTTATCAATCAATCACACATATAGAGATGAAAAAGACTGTGAAACGTGGTAAAACCACACGAGAAATTGTTCCTTTTGGAGACGGTGATGGCGTTATCCCTCAACTCGGCCAAAAACGAGTTGCCTCCAGTGCCCCTGACACTAACCACAGCAACGACGACCAGAGGAACCTGGAAAATCCAGGATATCTCGTGTGGCCACTACTTCGACTATGAAAGCGAACAAACCTTTGTTGGCCTTGCTGTCTGCTTGATGTGGGGTGTGAAGTCGTGCACAATCGACGTTTTGCCAGAGGATCCAACCACTGCAGTCATTTCGTACCATTGGCCTCCAGGCCTGACCAAGATCAAGTCCAAGTTTACGTAGGAGCTCGAAAACACGGCGACCAAAGCAAAAACGTATGCCAAGATCCAGGCATTCGCATTTGCAATGCAAAACCACCGTCAGAATCAACAAACATTCCGATGTCGACCCAGCTGGTTGATTTGCCATTGCCTCTTATTCCTCATTCCTTCGAGTTCAAAGTTGGCGTCGACACTATTGACGAGGATGTGATCATCGTTGAGTTCAAGGTCCAAGGAAAATCGTCATCTCACGGCAATATCTCGCTCCAAAAGTAGTAGTTTAAGTCGTTTTAACACATTTTGTTTTGAATTCATCATTTCCCGTTGAATTCATCATTTCCCGCAGCCTCCAGGAGAGGGACGGATAAATCCTTGCGGAATTAATCCGGGGATCGAACCGACGACCTTTGACTGTGAGTTAAGAACCGCTCCATACCACTGAGCTATTTTCCCTCCCCCCGATGGTGCAAAATGACCAATTCGGTGAACTACAGAGCGTTCCCTCAACGACATAAATGGAACGTGAATGTAAAAACAAACATTACAGAGCGTTCCCTCAACGACATAAATGGAACGTGAATGTAAAAACAAACATTATTAGCTTTACCGTCGGCATCTGTATGACCATTTGACACTTTCCAACTAGAAACGTTGTACTTCGAAGTAAATGAACAAGTGGTCAAAAATGAGGGAATTATTCCCCACCAAATTGCAATTATAGCTGTTGTTGCACCCGCACCCATGCTGAACCTCACTTTGCGTTTGATGATTGGATATAATATTTTCTTATCGTCCAATGAAATTTCATTATTTATCATCCCCATCAAACAGATTCAGAGGCATGAAACTGTGTGGGCACGCTTTATGCGTTCCATGAAGAAATGCACGACTATGTATATGCAGTAGAGGAGGTAGACGAATAAACTGACGTGGCGCTTTCAGAGAGCTTGAAGTGTCAGAGATATTAATTTTGGGGCGATTACAAAATTGGTGAAATTTGCTGAAAGCAGTCCAAATATTTGCGAATTTCCACCAACCACGGCGATTTGATATGCTTCGTCGAAGATTTGCATTGTAGAATTTTCCTGGCGGCAATGACAACCCCACATGTCGAGCGCGAGCGGGCGTTGTCGATCCACGACGAAGAAGACATCGACCATGATAAAGTTGACGCATTGGACATGGTACACATGCATGAGATACCGGAGGATGTTATGGCAATCATGTCCATCATTCGAATGTGCGTGTCTGCGTAGCACCATGAAGACCACCAAAAGTTTGCGTACTTGCAGTCGATCTACAACAAGGCCAAGGAGCGCAAGCTGTCCCTCGCCGACGAGCACGAACGTGAGGGAGATGTTGATGATGGTAATGGTACATGCATTTACCTAGTTGACGACACCCATGGATGCAACAGATCCGAGCCACCTCTTTGACCACATTCCCGAGCCGTACGTCGAACAGCCCAACTTTCAGCGCATCAACTTCACCGCGGGCGATGACGAACACGACCCCGAAGCCGCGGAAGTGTGCGATGGCATCTTGAAGTGCTTGGCGCTTCGGGACAAGTGGATCCAAAGCAACGCCGTCGTCATTCCGGACGAAGACTCAGACAATACCATGCCGCTGACGCCAGGTCGCACCAAATTTCGCCATCGCGACGATCTTCCCTACGACATTTTCAGCACCAAGGTAATCATGCTCCATAGCAACTACCTCAGCAACCACGGAGCTAGGCGCCGAGCGGAACGGATCACCGCCTAGAGATCCAGGACGGAGTCGTTGTCGTGTACCCGAGTGACTCGGCCAGTCCGATTTTGCAGCCGCTGTCGCAAGATGAGTTCTACGATGATTGGTTCGAAGTGAAGCGAATCATCAACTCGGGTCCGGTCAAGGTATGTTTGCATAGTGATTTGATATCTCCCTGTGTAGAATAAATATTATTGGTTTCCTTAGCATATATATATATATATTATATATATCCTTGTGATGTTGCCTACTACGGAGTATATTCTCAATGTTGTTTTTGATCTCCATTTCGAATGTATGTTTGGATTCCTTCACGATTCTTATACTTATAAGTGTATGAATCGTATATATATTTTTTAAATATGTATATCCTTTTGAAGTTAGTTGCCTATGTACTGAAGTATATTATATATATTCGTACTATTTCGCCACTCGCATTCTATGTGTTATTATTGAACTCCATTTCGAATATCTTTGCCTTCTCAATTTCATATATATATATATATGTATTTCCTTATGACATTGCCTATTACATATTATATACCAGTATATCGTTTAATTTAGTTGCTCGATACATATACATTCATGTCGATGATAATATTGTTCGTGGTAGACGTTTGCGTTCAAACGGCTTCAGCTGTTGGAATCGCGGTTCAATCTGCATGTGCTTTTGAACGGAGATCGCGAGCTGGTGTCGCAAAAGGCGGTGCCCCATCGTGACTTTTACAACATTCGCAAGGTCGACACGCACATCCACCACTCCGCGTGTATGAACCAGAAGCACTTGCTTCGGTATGAGAGGCATCGTTGACCTTAGACGATCGATGGATGCTCACTGTACGACAGATTCATCAAGTCCAAGCTGAAGAGCAACCCCGGGGAGATCGTGATCTTTCGTGACGGGCGCTTCATGACGCTCAGCGAAGTGTTCCGATCGCTCAACTTGACTGCGTACGACTTGAGCGTGGACACGCTCGACATGCACGCGTCCAACACGTTCCATCGTTTCGACCGGTTCAATCTCAAGTACAACCCCGCGGGACAGAGTCGTCTCCGCGAGATCTTCCTTAAGACGGACAACCTCATTGCTGGACGGTAAGTCCGTCCTACGTAGCCTCATCAGCATCCATATATATCAAGAGCATGATGTATGTTGCAGGTACCTCGCGGACATCACGAAGGAAGTGATGAGCGACTTGCAGCAATCCAAGTACCAATTGGTGGAGTGGCGCCTCTCCATCTACGGTCGCAAGCACTCGGAATGGGACAAACTCGCGCGCTGGTTCTACGTCAACCGCCTCGCGTCGCCCCATGTTCGCTGGATGATTCAAATCCCGCGTCTGTTCTTTCTCTACAAAAAGTACGTGTATCCGGATCCGGATACACATCCGGATAACGGTTTGTAGATCCGGCGACATCGACAATTTTGAGCACATGATTCAAAACATCTTTTTGCCGCTGTTCGAAGTGACCAAGGACCCGAGCTCGAACCCGCAGCTGCACACGTTCCTCCAAGCAGTGATCGGCTTTGACTGCGTGGATGACGAGAGTAAGACCGACCCCATACGAGCCGAACGAGGCAAGCCGCTGCCACGCCCCGCGGACTGGACGTACGAGTCCAACCCGCCGTACGACTACTGGTGCTACTACCTGTACGCGAACCTGGCCACGTTGAACGCTTTCCGTCGGGCGAAAGGGTTCTCTACGTTTACCTTCCGCCCACATGCAGGGGAAGCAGGTGACACGGATCACTTGGCCGCGACGTTCCTCTGCGCGAATGCGGTATGATGTGTGCATGTTTGATTGCAATGGTCCTGGGAATGATATATCAATTGTGTATGTAGATCAACCATGGGATTACGCTGCGCAAGTCCGTGGCATTGCAGTACTTGTACTACTTGGCGCAGATCGGGATTGCCATGTCTCCGCTCTCCAACAACAAACTGTTCCTTGACTTTCAACGCAACCCGTTCCCTCAGTACTTTGCTCGGGGTAATGTGGAGAAGTGTGCATGGTGGTTTTTCATATTTAATGTACACATGCTTCCTTTGTAGGATTGAACGTGTCTTTGAGTACCGACGACCCCGTCATGCTGCATTACACCAAGGACCCGCTCTTGGAAGAATACTCCGTCGCGGCGCAAGTGTGGAAGCTCTCGGGCACGGACATTTGTGAAATCGCTCGCAATTCCGTGCTCCAGTCTGGGTTCGAGCATCCGTTCAAGCAGCACTTCCTTGGCAAGAAGTACTACGTTCCTGGCGCCGCCGGCAACGACATCCGCATGTCCAACGTCCCTAACATCCGCTTGGACTACCGCCATGAGACCCTCACCAGCGAACTTGCCTGCCTCCAGCATCACCACGGCTAGGCAAGCGACTACATTTGCATTTTCAGATCCATTTCTTTCTAAATAGTGAATGGGAGTTGCACCAATCTTTGCTTTGCTCAAGAGAAAAACGCATGCAAAAGGTGAAAAACGCGATCAAATTAGTCATGGTCAGTATCAAGAACTGTGAATTCATATGACTACAAGTATTTAACTAGGCAACGTTTTAAATTTAACGTCCTGAAAAACGTCGTTGAAGTGACATGATATTACAGTATAGTGGGGAACACTAGTTCTTGCTTTGAGAACCGGCCGCCCGCCAACTTCTTGGTGACGATCATACTGTGCTTTGCTGCGGAAGGCGGCTTCGTCGGTGATGTAAATGGAAGTGATGTCATGGAGGACGGTGCAGTCGTGTATTCACTCATGGGAAAAGATGGAGTTGATGGTTGGAGCTTGTGAGTCGCTTGCAGCCTCCTCTGGTCGCGCTGGGTGTCGCGAAGCGCACGGGAAACGCGTGAGTACTGCCGAAGCTACTCAGCAATGAGATTGAATCCTATGCAAGATACCACACAACCTCGCTTTGTTGCTGGCGCTTTAAGTTGACGACGTTGGTGGCGGTAGAGGTCGTAGACGGCCGAATGGTCAGCACACGGTTCATTTCATTGGGGAGGTAGCGCAAGATAGCTGCGTCTGCGTCGACACTTGTACCTACACACGGCATGCAGGCGACGCCGAAAGCACGAGCTGACTCACCGGCACGATGTTGAATGACGAGACTGGCGGAATGTGCGTGGCGGGTCGTAGAGTGCGCCAAGAGGACGTGCCTGGTATCATCGATCTTCTTGAGGTCTTTTAGGGCATTGGATGCAATAAACTGTGTCCAAGTCGTATGAGCACACGAGATGTAGTCGACAGCATCGACAGACCTGAGCGCAAAACACGCAGACCTGCACTACTTGCATCTGTTGAATGGCTTCCGGGTCGTCCAAGAGGTCGGAGAATAGCTGGAGGCCTTGGTGAATCGCAGCATTCCCATGACATCGCTCTCGGAACATCTTTCGAGCGAGCCATATTTCCTATAGTAAGGTGAAGCCACCTGCCTCAACAGTCACGTGAATGTACATTGCCAGTCGCTGGCTCGACGCCTGACGCGTAAGTGTTCTGGCAAAGGGAACAGAGCTCCCTATAATGGCATGAGTCCGCGTCAATCCGTCGCAGGTTCCGACTCACCGCCGCGCCATCGTGAGATGGGATAATTATGGAACTACCAATCAGATCAATTTCTCAATCATCTAGCCAATCACAGCGGGGTTTGAACATCCAATCACGTTGTCGCATGGGTTGACAGTTCGAAATTGTGATACCTTGTCGGATTCCATCACGAAAGTCGAGTTTCCGTTGGGAATGGGCATGGATTCTGTCATTTGACATCCACGATGACGGCGCGCAAGTGGACCCAGGACGAAGTAACCATATTGGACATGTACCCCCCTCTGACATGACGAGACTAACGCCCCACCCTCTATAGGACGAGAAGCTTCGCGCGGCGGTGTTGAAGGTGGGTGCCAGACGGTGGAGAGTGGTGGCAAGCCAGTACTTCCCTCATCGTACGCAACAAGACTGCTGTAATCGCTGGCACGAGCTTCAAGCATGCACGTCGATGCACAAACGTCCGTGGTTGGCATTCGAAGACGACATCCTTGTCAAGACAGTGGCAAGGTATGGTCCCAAGCGGTGGGGCTTGATCGCGTCGTACATTTCCGGGCGGAATGGAAAGCAATGCCGCGAGCGGTAACGTGTATCTGATGCTCATTCCGACACACGAACATGAATGTATGTAGGTGGCACAATCACTTGAACCCGTCCATCAAGAAGGGCCCTTGGGAGCCCCACGAAGACGAAAAACTCGTCGAGTTGCAAGCCAAGTACGGGAACCGATGGGCGCTCATCACCAAAGCGCTTCCAGGGCGGTACGGATCTTATGATACATAACGAGGACAAAGTTGTTGTGTTGACCGCAGAGTTAGCACGGACAACGCTGTGAAGAACCATTGGCATGCGAATCTCAAGGTACGGTGTCGCTTGTGCGAAGTGTATGTTGAAGTATGTGTAGCCGTCCGACGCTTCGGAACCATCCAATCCAGCCGTCCAAAAGAGTCGAGTTGTGCCAGTTCACGCGACCATCTCGCTGCCTCCGTTGAGGCTCAAGGTGGAGCCCTTGCGCGCCAAACCTTCGAGGCCCGTCGTCGTCGCCGCGGTGGCAGAGACGGATGACGAGTTTGCATGGGTGTCTGACGAGTGGGCGTCCATGGACGTGTCTGCGTGGGACGACATGGTCATCCAAGCGTCGGATGTCCTTTGACAAACCCGAACATGGGGTCCCTTCCTGTGACGAGAATTCACAGCCAAATGACCTTAATTTAAAACCATTGTGTTTTTTTAATTACGAGTTTGTTTTTATTAGGATAAACACGACTCGAGTATTACTTAGTATTACTTCACTGTCAGTAAGAAAAGTCAATATTAATATAACTATAAATAAATAAAAATCGAAAGTTGTGTTATATTGTCACTGTGCTGTGATTGGTGGGATTCGCCTGGTTGAGCATATTTGAAATCCATCGCCGCCAACATGCCGCCTACGTCTCCGTTTGAAGTTGTCTTGTACTACCGCTATGTGCACATCACGGACGTCGACACCGTGATCTCATCGCAGCAACATCTATGCGAAACATTAAGCCTGCAAGGTCGCGTGCGTATCTCGGAAGAAGGCATCAACGGCACCCTCGGCGGAACACCCGCCTCCATCCAAGGCTACGTGGATGCCATGGAGTCGTGTGCCCCGTTCTGTGGTCTCAACATTGATTGGAAACGCACCACTGACTTAGACATGCTGCCGTTCGAGGACCTGTTTGTCCGTCGCGTGAAGGAAATCGTGTCCATCGAACTGCCCGACGATGCATGCGACGTGGCCAACACGGGCATCCACCTCTCCCCCATCGACTTCCACGCCGCTTTGGACCTCTCTCCGAAACACTCGACGGCGATCATCGACGTGCGCAACAACTACGAGTACAAGTACGTACATATGCAACCACCCGACCATCATCACATCATATCAATAGCATTGGGCACTTTCATGACGCCCTGAACCCGTCGACACGGCGCTTCGGTCAGTTCCCGCACTGGGTGCGCGACAACTTGGACGATCTGGCCTCGAAGGATCGCATCCTCATGTACTGCACCGGCGGCATCCGCTGCGAGAAAGCGTCGGCGTACCTCAAGCACCTCGGGCTCTCGAACGTGTTTCAGCTCCAAGGCGGCATCCACCGGTACTTGGAAGCATTCCCCGACGGCGGCGCCTTCGTTGGCAAAAACTTTGTGTTTGACCAACGTACGTATATCCTGTATTTCATTTATATCCTGTATTTCATTTATATCATATATTTCATTTATATACAATCCGGAGCTACAAGTAAATGATCATCCAACCCATCGATCTACTTTTGTGAATGGGGGATGATGTCTGGTGAATGTATGTATGTATGTATGTATGGGGATATTTCAGAAAACGAAGGTCTTCACGTATTCATTAATCATTTACATGAAGTACTGCTTTTATTATTCCATACTACTTTAAATAAATATAGATTTTATATTTTTCCATACATTAAAAAAATATAGATTTTATATTGTTTGTATTTGAATGAAAATGAGGATAATCTATACCTAGTACTAGTATACTTTATAAACTAACACACAACTGTATGAAATGTATGTAAAAAATCCATTTTCTTATACTCCTTGATTTGCAATAATACTTAGGTATTTCATTTCGTGGCTGTCCAATGTATCCATAAGGGTGATGATAATATGGACAAGGTGATGATAATATGGACTGATGTCGTAGGAGTGGCGGTGGCATCTTCGAACGAGGACGTGGTCGGGCAGTGCGAAGGGTGCGGCGGCGCGCACGATGTGATTTCAGGCATCCGATGCGCGTACTGTCGCATGCATGTGATGCTGTGCAGCTCTTGCGAGTCCTGTCGCGTATTTTGCAAGCTGCACCAGTGGCTCGGGGTTGGAGACGTGGAGGATCTGACGCTCAAACTCGGCCAGTTGGAAACTCAATTGAGTGACAATGCTGGGCCGAAAGGCAAGGGCCGCCGTCGGTCCATACGAAAGCAAATGCACGCCCTCCAAGCCACATTGGCTACCGCGACCGCCGTCAACTAGCAAGAGGCCATGATGGCGCCAAATGTTAATATACAACATTTTGTATTCGCGAAATGCGTGGCGCCAATTGTTAATATTCGTGGGTGTGTACGTATGTAGAAGAATTCCACACTGGGTTCATATCGCGATCAAATGGGAGTGGGATATATTATTGATTTGGTATGAATTTACTGTTAATCATGCCGACCAAACCGACCATGAATCGCTCCCATTGGTCAACCTGAAAATGCGTCTCGCTGATTGGCCACCTCCTTTTTTCTCCTTAATTATTCGGAGACCACGAAGACAATTGTGCTTTCTACGGAATCGGGAAAGCCAATGAAATTTCGAGGCGAGATTTGGGATATCAGTTTTACAAATCGCGCAGAATTGGGAATATTTATAGCAAATTCATGATATAGCAATGCGCACAATCAAGTTACGGCACGATTGGTTTATAATGCATATGTTGGGATTTCATAATCTTGGGGTTTCAAAGCTGCTCTTGGCGCGCACATGTCGTCAACGAACGACGGACACGCGGCGAAACGATTGAATGGGTGGGAGAAGCGGAGACAACGTCACAGTTTGAACCGAGGCGTGGAAGGCGGATGTGTACGGCGGCGGCGGCGGCGGTGGGCGGACCAACTCGCCGTCCGACGTCAAAGCAGGCGGCAAAGGAAGAGATGGCTGGAGGAAGCAAGGTTCCTCGTCCATTTCCGCCTTGTAGTGCTCCATGGGGTTGTGCATGACTGTAGCTTGAGGAGTGTAGCAGAGGGTTGTAGCTGCTTCATACAGCACGTCCACCTTGACGAGACATTTCGCGACGTGAAACTCGATGGCCTGGCACATGGCCGCGGCGTTCTTGGTCTGCAGCACGAATTCGCCCACTTTGGAGCAACTTGAGTCCATAAAGCAGCTCAAGAACAGTGACGCCTGCGGTTGCAGCACCAGCGACCATCTATATATATATATATATACTTCGAAGTATGTATACATATATATAGACACGATGGTCCTACTTGTGAATGTCGGTGTAATACCAGTCCATTTTCGAGTTGGCGTCGTCGCCCCCACTGGTGGTGGCGCTGGTCAGACGCACGCCGTCGCTGGCAATCGTCAGCGTGGCGTTCCCGAGGCTGCAGCCCCCAGTGGGGGGGTCGTTCACCCCATTCTGCACCACCACCTTGACATCGCAGGACAAGGGCGCGTCCGGCACCAGCGCCGCGGCGCGATCGACAAACACGCCCAAGATCTACACACAAAATGCCCCCCCCCGTGTCACAGATTGTAGTTGCCCTATTGAGAAGACGTTAACGTACGTGCAGCCACGTGGCATGGTCTGATTCGTCGGACGCACAGAAGCTCCATGTGCGATACAGTGTGACGATGTCAAACGCAAACGGCGGCGCGTCCGGAAGCGCCGACTGCGGGCGGATGCACAGCACGGACGCGAGGTCGATCCGCTTGGATGACGCCTCGGCCTTCCTTATTGGGCTCGTGTCAGTCGACCAAGAAGACTCGGTGTAGCTCAACCACGCGCCCTATATATATATATATATGTATGTATATATATCAGCACCGCCTAGAATATATATATATGTGTATATATATTGGCAGTTGTGTTGGGTATTATTGAGCCATTTGATATTAGATATATACCAGGGGCGAGTCGTGCAGCATCGCGTGCTTCTTTTTCCACGATTGTGTCAAGTGAAAGCCTTCGCTGGCAGTCTTGGACAGAGGCCCTTGGTGCTTTAGCCACGAGAAGGTGGAGGACCGTCCTCCTGAAGTTATGTCGATTTTGAAGGGGGTGTTGGTGCTAGGGAACACCGGACGGCCGTAGATGGAAGCTGGAACTACCCCCAGGGAAGGAGATGACTGGATGACGGACGCTTCGGGTGCCGTGGAAGATGGAGGAGAAGGATGAGGAGCTAGTTGCTGGTTCATAAAGTACCACACGGCATGGCATAACACCTTGGAGTCTACACCAGGGTACGTAGCCGTGAATAATAGCGATTTGGCAAATGAATATACTAGGACTCGTTATTTATACCAGTGGTGGGAAACGTTATAGGAGGTGCAACGTCGCAAAGGTGAAAGTCCACCGCTGTTCCATCCGCCTACCATACATCACATACATGTCGAAGGATTTGGTCATTGCTTAGACCTAGAGTATTGGACATATGTACATTGGGGGCACAGGTTGCAATTGACGAGTAGAGGAGGATGCGCTCTGGAGCCCCCTCGTGGACGATCGATAGATGCATCTCGGTCAAGATCAGCTTGGAGGAGTAGTGGGAAAACGTCATGGTGCCATGTCGGATAAACTCGAGGCTCACGGCGTCCCGACACGGCGGCAGGGAGGACGACGGAGGTCGATCTGCCAAGAGAAGTTCGCGACGAAGGGACAGGGGTATCTTGGGGCGAAGATGGGGGGGCATGAGCGACGGACGCAGTTGTTGGAGGATGCGCGGCTGCTTGGAACCGGCAAACACGCCGACGTAGGTGGTCGCGGGCAGCTGCGGCAGCTTTGCCTCTGCCAGGGCCGCGGTCAAGCACGTTTCAAACTACCCTGACGAATTAAGTTGAGCAAACATGCACACATGAGGTCACGTACGTGGGACAGTGTCGACGCGAGAGTGACCAAGAGGAGATCGTCGGCGACATCGCGAAAGGTGACGCTTCCGTCGTGGTAGTTCCATTCGATACCGCGGATCTACGAAGGAATGAGCACGTCGTGTGTCGAGAAGTATCGACGAACGTCGGCAAAGACGAGGTCTCGCAGTGGTGCGGCGGTTGCGCCAGTCTTTTGCACCACGACGCGGTCAGGCAGCAACTCGACACCGACATCGTCGTCCTCTGCTGCCATGTGCGCGTGGAAAGAAGTGAAGGCTCCCGTGACGCTCTTGGACGACAACGATGCTTTGCGTGGCGACAATCGCTGCACCAGACTCTTCATGACGACCCCTGATGTGTCCCTTCGGGAGCAGAGCCTGGCCGTTACACCAGCTGGCATGGCCGTTTTCGTTTCAAGGTAAACCTAAAACGTGACGTTAATTGACGTTAATTGACGTTGGTCGAATAAAAAGGCCGTTTAACGAAATAAACGTGACGTTTTAATATTGAAGGAAGATTCCGTGGAAGACGACAGAAGTCGTGTCATTGCTGCCCATCAAAAAGATATTCTGTCATTTTCGAACGAGACACCAAGCCTGCACATTCGATGGCGACGCCGCCGCTGTTCCTGCCGCTCGTCGCGATGTGGCTGCTGGGCAACATGGTGCTCTTCTTCTGTTATCAAGTCGTCATCTTTCTTGCCTTCCGCGGATGGAGTCCATCGCTGTACCGGTCCTACATGTACGTGAGACTCATGACGGGACATCGCAGGTTGACCGAACCATGATGAATGTAGGGCCTCCGTTCAAACGGCATGGGTTGATGTGATTGCAAGTACATTTCCCCAAACCGACCTCGTCGTCACGTATGTCGGATGCAACATGCATCAACGTCAGGTCTCACCCTTCGCTTGTAGCGGCGATCTGCCCACGGATCCCACAAAACCCGCGATCATCCTGTGCAACCATCAAATTGATGCCGACTGGTGGTACCTCTGGGACCGTACGACGCCCCTACACCATATTATTGATGATATAATGCCCGTTCTCGAACTCTAGTCGCCCGACGACTTGACGGCGGCGGCAACCTCAAAATCTGCCTCAAGCAAGAGCTCAAGTACGTGCCCGTGTTCGGGTGGGGCCTCGACTTGCTCGAGTTTCTCTTTGTCAAGCGCAACATTGACCACGACCGACTGCACGTCAACCGTACGTTCCCATCATCATCACATCATCCTATACATGCTCCGTCACACATCCGCATTCTCCCTTAGAGCACATGGCGCGCTTTGTCCGGGAAAAGTTTCCTTTTTGGATGCTCGTGTTCCCCGAAGGCACGACGATCCACGCGGAGATGCTGGACAAATCGAACCGCTTCGCCCAACGCACTGGTCGCCCCCAGTTTTCGCGGCTGCTGCTGCCGCGGACGTCGGGGCTCCACACGATGCTCGCCGCGACCGCCGCGATCAAGCCAGACGTGTACGACCTGACGCTGGCGTACCCGTCGTACAGCGGCGAAGTGCCCACAGCGGCCATGGGGTACAGTCGGCACACGGACACGGGCGTGCCGAGCATGGCGGCCGTGCTGTGCGGTCGCGGACCAACTCGAGTGTCGATCCACGGGTCAAAGCATGCATTTGACGATGTATTTGGCAAAGAAGAAGCGTTTCTCGACAAGGCGTGGCAAACGAAGGAGAAATTGCTCGATCAATTTATCGCCAACCAGGTCAGATTTCACATGTTGTAGTGTCCTTTTCCCTAAATTTGGACTTGTGCGTCGCCAAATCTATCGGTTCTTTGTATGAAAAAAGTATGTAAAAGTTGACATGTGCATGGCAATCACAGCACTCACACTAATTGAAGTCGCACACTAATTGGATGTTGATCATAACCATCTGATTGGCTCAATATTCATTCTTCGGTATATTTGGTTGTGTCGACTATTTATTCATTCTCTTTATCACTCCAGTTTAGAATAAACTCCATATGTTGGCTCATTGTTGTTTGTGATAGGCATTTCCAACAATAGCCCAAGGCCGGGTGCTGCCATCAAAGGTAAAGAGAGTTAGATCCGTTTTTGGTGTTATATATATATATATATGGAATGAGGATATGAACTTGATGTGGTGTAGATGTCGTGGGCCAACATTGGGCAGTTGTGGGTGTCGGCCGTGGTGGCGTTGGCCGTGTCGCCGCTGGTGGCGTCCATGGCGGCATTATGTAGGTGAAGATATATGATGAGTATGGAACATGACGACTCCTCGTAGGGTATGCTGGCACGACGGCGTCGGATGTGTTGGCATGTACTTGGTCGTGTGTGGTTGGGTCGCCGTCAAAAGCAACAAAGTCGAGATAACACCACGGAAAAGCACCTTTAGGTCTTATATAGTAGTGTTGAAAAATACAAGGGTCGTGTATATATTAAATAGGAGTAAAATGTCCAATGGCGACGTCAGGACGTGATGTACGAAGCAAATTTGGCGCGGCAGATCGGACACGCGTCAATTTCAGCCAGACACGTGGCGCAAATGCACTTGTGGCGGCATGGCAGCACGATCGCCGTCGTCGGGTCTTCCAGGCAGATGCTGCACTCGACAAACTCGTCCGCGCCGTAAATGTCCTATATATATATATATATATTATTAATAGAATAACTAGAACACTACTTTTGACGAACAGGAATATATCTATCAGACACATAACTATACAACTACTTTTTCGACAGGAACATGCATATTGATATATATGTATATATATATATATCAGAAACAAAACTATAAAACTACTTTTGACACGAAAATGGAATATATATATATCAGACATATAACTATAGAACTCTTTGAGATGAATACTATGGTCGTATATATATATATATATATCGGAAACACAACTATATAACTTGTTGGACACGAACATGCATGTACTGTACATACATGGGCCACGAGCACGTTGTTACTAGAGGTCGAGCGATGATAATACATGCGCTGTTTGATGGAAGATGAGGCCAAGTCGAGTACGAACAAGGCGGTGGTGACACCAACAGTAGCATGGTCATCATGAGAAGGTGAAGGATGCACGACCACTTGCACATGGGAATGGGCGGCGGTCTGGACGAGGACGACGGCGCCAGTGGAGGTCGAGGAAGGGCGGGGTAAGGTTGAGTTGGTGTAATGGAGGGTGGACGGAGTAGACGGAGGTTCTGCATGCAAGATCAACCTAATAATACCACAACATATATACACTATCAACATGTCGGAATGCAGATGTACAGTACGGGTCCGTTCGGAGTTGGCAGGGAAGAAGGCGGCGTAGCTCGCCATTGTCCAAATCCAATAGACTGGAGGAAGGATGATGGAGCATGTTCGTGGAAGTAGATGGCGGGGACGATGACGAACCAGACGTGTCTTGCAGCGGCTGTTGGTCTCCGCCGTCGGTGGCGACAGACTGCGTCCACTTGCTCCAGAAGTTGCTCCAGAACGCCGACATCGATCGTGGAAAGTACATGCGCCGCTTCGAAGTGGAAACGAACCCGCGGGGCTGAGACAGAGTCGAGATGGCCGTCGCGATGTCCAGGTCCCATAATATTTGGACCGAGCAGGATGGGACTGTGGATTCAATGGCAATCGACAACGACTTGGTGTCGTCTGTGCCTGTAGATGGGAGAGAACATGAACACGAGGTATGCAAGTGGAGGATACCGGCTCCTGCTGCTGCGTATCGCACACTCTTGAGATCGAACGGGACGTGGAGCGTGTCCATGGCAACCTGTGTGATTTGGTCTTGCTGCCGAAGGAACTGCTGGAGATGTTCCATCGACATGGTTTCCAGGAGATCCAGGCTACATCGAGCGAAATGAGATCAAGACACGTACATGAAGGACCCCCCTACCTTGGACCCAGCTGTGGCACGTACGCAATCTACTCGCAGGTTCGAATCGTGATTCCACCAAGGTGCATGTGGTGAGTAGTCTGTACGTACGCGGTTCTTCTGCAACGCCATCTGCATCGCACGGAGTTGCCGGCTCAAGACCACGATGCGAACGGACCATAACACGAGGGCCAAGGTGAGAAAAAGGGAGAGCGTATTCTGAAGCTCCGCCTCGAGCGGCGGCGGTGACATCATGCAGCACCAATATGTATTTTGGGACAGTTGTAAAATAGTACTTGGAGTAAACCGTAGGTTTAATAGATTGGCCAATCAAACAACAACAACCTGTGCAATGGCGGCATTGATTGGTGTACTTTTTATTCCGGTTAGCCAATCAAATGAAAAGGAACCTCCAGAATCGTCTCTGATTGGATGATTTCAAACGAAGAGAGTCTTATTTCACACCGCCGTAGACGGTCTGGTCGTTTGCCCGGAGGGCGGCATGGACGCTCTGAATGTGCGCGGTTGTGGCTTGAAGCGCAACTTGGACACTCCAATGCTGCTTTGTCCGTCGCAGATCATCGTAGTCGCCGCGGTCGTGCTTCATGTATATGCTGCTGTCCCGTACGAACTGCCGCGTCCGCCGCAGCTCGTCGTCGACGATGTCCTGTTGCTGCTGCAGCTTACGCACGTACGCGGCGCGCTCAACGGGTGTCTGAAATGCCCATTGCTGGAAGCTTTGTGCCGCCACGAGGTACCTACGTCCGGTAGTGCGTTGATTCAGATCAATAGCGAACCTTCCTGTACCTTGCATGTTGTGGGGACGGAGCTGTCGCAAGCAGTGTGATGCTGTCCCCCGACGGCAACAAGAGCGAGCAGAACTTGGCTTGAGGGTCCATGGAGAGAATGGCGCGATCGCGGAACAAGACACGAACGCGGCCATCGCCGAACGCGCGGAAGAGACCCATCGGCGTGTGCTGTTCCTCGACAACTTGATGGGGAGCAAGCAGCAGGGGGGCGTCGGGATTGTCTGCAGGACTGGCTTCTGTCAGGACATCGCACCGCCGTTTAGCGCGAAGGCAAATGTCTGTGACATCGTAGAACAGTGTCACGTTGGGTTGGGGATGGAATGGCGGGTGGGACGGGATGGCGTCGACGGTGTAGCAATGGTCTTGGGCGCCTCGACGGTGGTGAAAGAAACCGCTGCGAGTGCACTCAATAGCCGAGTCGTCCACGTGCACATGGACCTACCATACTGAAATCAAGCTTATGACGTGGCACGACGACATCCTACACAAACGAGCTGCGATGGGAACGCCATAAACGTGGCCGTTCGAGTCCATTCCACTCGGCATAATCCGGATAAGAGGGTGCTGGATGTAGCGACGACCGCGCTGGCCTGGTTAGAAGGATACCGTCGGCATAATGAAAACACATCAGATGGGGACATTATGCATGTGGATGATGCAGAAGGTCGGAACATGGTCCAATTGGGGCGACTTGTGAAGGCCATGTTGGTGGGGAGGTGGGTCACGACGTAGCTCCCTGGCAGTTGACATGACGATACATTCGTGCTTGATGGCTCTTCTTCGCCCCCATGGTAGGCAAAGGACTGTCGGCCGTCGGAGATGGCGGCCGCGGCGTGCTGTAGAACCTGTGCCGAGTAAGCAAACGCTTTTGGAACGTTGTGGCGGGTGAAGCACTGCTCCACGCGGGTAAACAACCCGCGTCCGGCAAGATGCTGGTCGGAGCCGTGGTACTCGACCGGCGCAAGAAAGGACGCGTGGAAGAAGTGCGTCGACTGAGTCATGTACGTGACGCTGGCCATGCCGTCCAGAGACTGGAGGCGCAGTCCATCGGCGCATTCCATGCGGGATATGTGGAACGTACCGCAACGCCAGCGGGCGGAGATGGCGCCTTGTGGTCGACATGGATGACCGACTTGCCATTGCAGAGTCGACGCGAGCAGGTGATGCTGGTGCAGGTACAGTGGTCGATCGAGCGAGTATTTGTTGCGGAATGCCAGTACCGGACGGAGAAGTGGAATGTGCGCAGAGGGAGCAGACGCGCACGTGAAGCGCTGCACGGTCAACGACGTCGATAGAGTTTCCGACGATAGGTACGAGTAGCAGTGCCCGTCTGGCTCAAGGACAACACATGCTGTTAGTCGAATGGGTGAATTTGTGTGTTGCTTGGAGGAGCACGAGTCCGAAGCAATATGGAAGCCTCCGATCGTCGACCCATCCGCGAGGAGCAGCATGCATGTTGGTTGGCACATGGTTTTCGAAATGGTATTGCTCCTTATCCGGATCCCGATACTGCGATTCGAATAGAGTGATTTGATTGGCCATTCTATGTGGCAACATGACAACAAATCCAGGTATAGTATAAGTATAGTATACTTATACTAACTATACCTGGATTTGTTGTCATGTTGCAGGTTCGTGTAGTACTACTAGTATTTACTCCGTAATACTTGGAATAAGTACTACTCGACTTAGTACGTACCGGTAGTTAAAGTTACATCCAACCTTGAGGAATACTCGTACTGCAGGAAGGGAAGGGTCGCCATCGTTTACTTTTTCTGCGGAATCCTCGAGTGATGATGAAGTATTGTACTCCGGAGTATGCATAATTGAACTTCGACGTAACGTTGCTATAGTATAAGTACTACTAGTACTTCTATGTGGCAACATAGAATGGCCAATCAAATCACTCTAATCGAATCGCACTCCAGGTAGTAAGTACTACTAGTACTTACTACCTGGATTTGTTGTCATGTTGCCACATAGAATGGCCAATCAAATGTACTACTAGTCCTCACTACCTGGATTTGTTGTCATGTTGCCACATAGAATGGCCAATCAAATCACTTAGTAGTACTGTACAGTACCGTTTGTATAAATTTTACAGTTAACATTATTAATAATACTCCGGAGTCCTACGTACTGTAGTAGCAACGTTACGTCGAAGTTCAATTATGCATACTCCGGAGTACAATACTTCATCATCACTCGAGGATTCCGCAGAAAAAGTAAACGATGGCGACCCTTCCCTTCCTGCAGTACGAGTATTCCTCAAGGTTGGATGTAACTTTAACTACCGGTACGTACTACGTCGAGTAGTACTTATTCCAAGTATTACGGAGTAAATACTAGTAGTACTACACGAACCTGCATATTACACACGCAGCTTGCTTTGTCAAATTTACCAACATTCCGAGGGTCGCTCAAATTTGCCCGTGCATTGTCAAATTTACCTGCATTCCGAGGCGTCACAGTCAAGAAATGAAATAGCTACTTTATAGTCAACCAGTACAACCGTTTTGTCTATATTAAATCAAATCCCTGCTTCATCGTGCTTATAAGTTTGGATTATATGCCTCTTAGCCTTCGAACTTCATGTGACAACAACCTTTCTGCTATGAATTGTGTTTGAATATGAGGAAAATACCCTCGATTAAACGAATTACTCAAAGATCACACATCACGACTGCGTTGACACTTCATTTTCAAATTTGATGGTGACCATCAAGGAGAGTGCGTATCATGGGCTGCAGAGTCCACCCGTCGACGCCGACGTCAAGGCGGCGGTGGATGGACATCCGCGTGAGGCCGCAGGACTGTTCAGCGCGTCCACATTCGGATGGTGCAACGCGCTCATCGCGCTCGGGAACACGCGGCAGCTGGCGCCGACGGACATTTGGGGCCTTGAAGACAGCAACCGCGTGGGCCCTCTGCTTGACCGCTACCTACACGTGTACGAGACCAAGAACAAGGGTCTATTGAAAGCGTTCTTCTCCATCTACAAGTGGAAACTCGTAGCGATCGCCATCATGCAAGCCATCTCGACAGGTTGCACTTTGTTTGGACCGGCCTACGTGCTTCCCCAGGTGATTCTGTCGGCGGCGACCCAGGACTGGACGCGCGGCGTGCTTCTGGTCGTTGCGCTGTACGCAGTTCAAATGCTGTCGTCGTTCCTGGCGGTGCACATGAACTTTCTGAACGCCGTGATCGGCATCCAATTCACCGCGTGTCTGCGCTCAATGCTGTTTGAAAAGGCGATGAAACTGAGCCCCAAGTCGCGCAAAGCCAAGACCGCGGGGGACATCGCCAACTTGTTCTCTGTGGACGTCCTCAACGTCATGGCGCTGTCGACCAACCTCAACATGGCGTGGATCGTGCCTATCGAAGTAGGTGTGACACTGTATCTCATCCAGCGCCAAGTGGGATGGGCCATCTGGATCGGCTTCCTCGCACTGTTTGTGATCCTGTTGATCACGGGCGGCGTCGGCGCGTTCGCCGGCAAGGCGCAGCGCCTGATCTTATCCTCCAAGGATGACCGGATGAAAGTTATAAACGAGCTATTTGGAGCGATTCAAATCGTCAAGTTTAACGCATGGGAAGACAAACTCGCGCAGAAAGTCGCCGATTTGCGCGCCAAGGAGCTGGACGCGCTCTGGTTCCTCATGAAGACCATCCTCGTGCTGATCACAAGCATAAACACGACGCCAGTGCTCATCACGGTCGTGGTGTTTGCCACGTACTCGATCTGGATGGGCCAGCTCTTGACTGTATCAATCGTGTTTACCACTGTCGCCCTATTCACGAACCTCCAAGTAGCGTTCATTGCCATGCCCATGGTATTGGTGAGCACGATCCAAGCGCTCGTGTCTGTCCGCCGCATCGACGACGTCCTCGCCATGGAAGAGGTACATCTGGACAACATCCTCCATCCTCGTTTCCCCATGGATTGTGACCTCGCGATTCAAATCTCCAACGGATCGTTTGGGTGGGAGAAGGAATCCCCTCTGTTTACGAACCTCCAGTGGTCAGTCCGCCGAGGCGAGTTTGTCGTCGTGCATGGAGCTGTGGGCAGCGGCAAGTCGTCGCTGTGCTCCATCCTCCTTGGCGAAATGGACAAATATGACGGCGCGGTCGTCGTGGCTGGCCGCGTGGCTTACTTTGGCCAGCAATCGTGGATTCAAAATGCTTCGATTCGACACAATATTGTGTTTGGAAGGCCATACGATCGCGTTCGGTACCGCCACGTACTAGACGCGTGTGGCCTCTTGAACGATGTCGCAGGGTTTCCCGCCAAGGACCGGACCGAGATCGGGCTCAAGGGCGTCAACTTATCCGGAGGGCAGAAGGCGCGCGTGAGTCTGGCGCGGGCATGTTATGCGGATGCAGACGTTTACATCTTGGATGCGCCGCTGGCGGCCGTGGACGCGATCGTCGCCAATGAAATATTCACCAAGTGTTTCCAGACCTTGCTAAAACACAAGACCATCGTGCTTGTGACCCACAACCCTGACATTGTCGCATCTACCGCCATCGACCGATCCTTTCTGCTCCAAGATGGACACTTGATAGACACCACTCCTGCCAACCACGTCCGGAACCGTGTCGCAGACGAGTCGTCGTCCGTGGCGCCTCTGCGCGGCCGTCTGGGGATCGGGGGCACCGACGATGACAATCTCGACGTTGTTGTGGTGCGCCGGCCCCACAACCTGCTCGTGACTCCGTCCGCCCAGTCACCGTACGTGTTCGAGCATGCGGATCCGCTGTCCGTGTTCACGCCCGCGGGGGCGGACGAAGCCCCGCACGGACACGAGGAGGGGGGGGCGCTGACGGTGGACGAGGAGCGCGCGGTGGGGCGGGTCTCCAAGGCCGTCGTGTGGTCGTACATCCAAGCGATCGGCGGATGGCCATCCGTGGTGATCATGCTGCTGGCCACCGCCGCCACGGAAGCCATCCGATTGAACGCCGACGTGTGGCTCACGGGATGGACGAACCAGAGCAACTCGGCACTCCGGACATCTGCCGAGAAAGCCGACTCCAACTACAACTTGACTGTGTACTCGGCGCTCGTGCTCGCGACGTGTGCGGCGACTGTGGTGCAGTTTGGGGTCGTGCTCGGGTTTGGGTTGCGGGCGTCGCGGGTGCTATTTGAGCGGATGCTGGCGGGGCTCATAGCCGCCCCCATGCGTTTCTTCGATACAAATCCCATCGGCCGCATCCTCAATCGCTGCGGGGACGATGTGTTCCAGTGCGATATTGCGATTCCCATGTCCTTCGCGCCCATCTTGGCGTCAACGGCCACCGTGCTGGCGCGGCTAGGGCTCAGCCTCGCGGCAGTCCAGTGGATGGGGCTGCTCCTCCCCCCCCTAGTGTACATCTACGTCAAGCTCGGGGCGTACTTTATCCTGCCGCTGCGAGAGCTGAACCGGATCAAAAAGGTCACCATGTCGCCCCTCCTTACGCTTGTGAGCGAAGGCGTGGACGGCGCCGTCGTGATCCGGGCGTTCGGACTCAACTACCAGCGCCGATTCTACCGCCTCCATGACGTGGCAATCGAGGACTTCTCCGCCGCGGCCTTTGCGCTGGCATCCGTCAACCAATGGTTTGCGCTGCGTGTAGCCTGTGTGTCGAATTCGCTCGTGTTTGCGCTGCTCTTTGGCTGTGTGGTCATGTCCAAATCCATCTCTCCGGGCATCCTCGGGCTTGTGATTTCGTACGGGTTTACAATTCCAGGCAGTTTAGCACAGCTTGTCAACATGTGGGCTGGCCTGGAGACGGCGCTCATTGCTCCAGAACGTCTGCACGAATACGCGGCTTTGCCCAGCGAAGGACTCCGACACGTGGGAGACGTGCCCAACTGGCCATCCAACGGGCAACTCTCATATGACCAAGTGAGCTATCGGTACAAAGAGAACGACCCGCTGGTCCTCCGAAATGTATCGTTTCAAGTCCAAGGGGGGGAAAAGATTGGCATCGTGGGGCGCACGGGGGCTGGCAAGTCGAGCTTGATGATGTCGCTGTTCCGGATGAATGACGTGGCAGCGGGAGCGATCTCGATTGACGGCGTGGACATTTCGACCGTCGGGTTGCACCAACTGCGGTCTTCGCTGGCCATAATTCCGCAAAACCCGGTGCTCTTCAAAGGCTCCCTGCGCAACTACTTGGACCCGTTCGACGACTTTACCGACGACCAACTGTGGCGAGTGCTACAGAAGGTGCACCTCACCGACAGAATCGTCGTCTCAGATGCCAAACTCGAGCAAGATGTGGACGAAAACGGAGAAAACTTCAGCGTGGGCGAGCGGCAGATGCTGTGCATGTCCCGCGCGCTGCTGCACAACGCCAAGATCGTCGTGCTAGACGAAGCCACCGCCGCCATCGACCACGCGACAGACCAGGTGCTGCAAAAAGTCATCCGGGAAGAGTTTATGCACTCGACGGTGCTCACGATTGCCCATCGATTGGATACAGTGCTCGACTACAATCGCATCTTTGTGTTGGAGCAAGGAGAACTGGTCCAGTGCGACACCCCCGCCGCACTCGCCGCGCTAGGAAGCGGTATCTTCTTTGATATGATCACCGAAGGCGGGTACGCCGACCGCCTCCACCTGACCAAGTAACGTGCGTCATTTGGGCGTTTATTGGTGGATCAGTAACACAGTAAACCAACCAGATTCAATAATAATGGTCGCTTTGAACGAGGGAATTTTACAGGTTACAGTCACGAGGGAATTTTACAGGTTAGAGTTACGAGGGAATTTCACAGGTTACAGTTAAGTAAAAAAAGAAGGAATACTGGTAATAGTCTGGGAGGGGGAACGCATTCGAGGCAGGGAGAAATGTCGACGATTATTGGTCATGGCATAACCGGCCGGTAGAGCCGGCGCGAGAAGAGATAATTCTTTGGTCATTATATAAAAAATATACTTCGAAGTACAATACAGCTAATTTATTACTGGTAATTATTTACTAGTAGGTAGAATATATTACTAGTATAAAGCTGCCAAACGGCACCAGCAAGCCGTCAACCTGAGAGCGTGGGCTTGAGCTCTTCTACTGTTGGCTCTCGCGATGGTGGCCGCCAAGATGTTGTTGGCAAATGACCAGTGTACATTTTAAACATTGTTTGGTTTACTCAGCCTCATGATACTGTTCTGGCTTGCAACGTCATGGGGTACGGCCACTGTAGGCGTTTTGGAAAGTGTACTGGCTCATCAAGCCAACTCGTTTGTAGTTTTGCCACTGTACTGTATAGCTCGTGAGGCCGTGCTTCTTCCAGTAGGCGATGTCATCGGCAATAGACAATCTGGACATCGCCGGCTTCAAATACGCAGCCCCCCGAGCACCTTGTCCATGTTGTTTCCAGTCCGTAACATCGAATAGCGCCATTTGCTTGCATTGATTTTTTGCACCGATCTGGCCACAACTTGTGACTTTCGGAGCTCGAAAAAGCAAGTACGGCGCCCCCCCCGTGCATTCTGTTCATTCTCTTCAACGT